CCTACTCAAGCTCAACTGATGAGGGGTGAATTCCCCGAAACACTGTGTATTGAGCAGGGAGTGGTGCTTTCTTGCAGGTTTGCCGAGTCGAAAGTTCGATGGACTTCTCGTGTGCTCTGGATGGCAGTCGTGAGTCAGTCAAGTGTCAAGTCAAGTCGGCGGAATAGCACGAGCTCCAGTGCGGGAGCAAACCCATTCCTAAAAAAATCATCGCCGAGCTCGCATATAGCCTGATTAATCGGGGTTTGCACATCTGTCAACATCATCCAACCAAACAACTTTGTCCGTTGCCGGAGATATACAGTCGGCGAGAGAGGTTCCCGGGGGCTTGAGGTCGTCGCGGACCACATCAATCCAACGCTTTCGGGGACGACTGAGGGGATGCTGTATTGTAGATGTATCAAGGGCCAAGTTCAAGGCTCGTAGGAGGCCACCGGTCCAGGACCCTCACGTACAACATAGCCCAGGTATAACAGGCGACGGCGTTCACATACTGTGCTGATGGGCGCTTGGTTTGTCCGTTGGTATAATGCTGTATTCGAGATCTTCTTGTTAGGGTAGTGTATGTTGAGCAGCCGGCGGAGCTTTAGGCCATGCCACTTGTCCAGCTTATCACTGAGGTTCTTGGTCAGCGTCCACAGACTGCAATTGCAGAGCAGCACTGGAATAATGAGTACCCTGAACATGCAGAAACGAGACTGGAGGTGTTGCTGTGGTGCCGTTGCCACGATATTGTAGCATACGCTCGATTGGTCGTACCTATCCTAGAGTTCACATCCTCATCAGTGCCCAGGAGGGACCCTAGCAGTTCGACAGCTCTCCAGGAGTTATCCGGCTTTGACACGGTAATGAGTTGTATTTTCTGTGTATTCAATTTCAAGCTGTCTTGCGCAACGAGATGCTCGCTCTCAACAGTCATGTAGTGCAGTGAAAATTCGTCTTGGCTTGTACCATCATCAATGCTGGTGCCCTCAGGTGCAGATACATGCAGAATACCATCATCAATGCTGGTGCCCTCAGGTGCAGATACATGCAGAATCAAGGGGAATTTCCCCGACTTCTTGGGGACCACACCTAACACGTCACACCAGAGCAGCGCAGTTCTGGATGAGGCAACTGAGTGTACGGGCCACACAACCCTCGATGCAGCCATTAGACAGGTAATTAGAGACGGTTTGGGGTTCTGAAATCCAGAGACTAAATTGGGAGCAACAAAGTGAGAGCGATCGCCGGAGTATAGTGTAACCGGAGTATAGTGTAACCGACAACAGCACTGTGACACAGGTCTTGCATAAGTGAGTTAACGAATGCGCGGTCAGGGTGCCTGGCCAGAGCCGACTCAAGCCGATCGGAGTGAACGGGCGCCCAGGGCGACTGTTGGTGTGACGGAATCCCTGCCGGCTGGTTGCCCTGTGCGACAATCTCGTGCGCTATGTCCGGAGACGTTGCAGGTGCTGTATTGGTGAATATAACGACAGGGGCTTCGGTGACATGTGCCCCGGTTGAAGAGTCGACACTGCTCGGCTGACGAGCGTGCGGCACCAGGGCTGCCACGGAGCTTGGCCGAAAGGGCCGCATGGCACGGGTATCAAACACAGTAGTATAGGCCGCATGGCACGGGTATCAAACACAGTAGTATAGGCGGCATGGCACGGGTATCAAACACAGTAGTATAGGCCGCATGGCACGGGTATCAAACACAGTAGTATAGGCCGCATGGCACGGGCATCAAACACAGTAGTATAGGCCGCATGGCACGGGTATCAAACACAGTAGTATAGGCCGCATGGCACGGGTATCAAACACAGTAGTATAGGCCGCATGGCACGGGTATCAAACACAGTAGTATAGGCCGCATGGCACGGGTATCAAACACAGTAGTATAGGCCGCATGGCACGGGCATCAAACACAGTAGTATAGGCCGCATGGCACGGGTATCAAACACAGTAGTATAGGCCGCATGGCACGGGTATCAAACACAGTAGTATAGGCCGCATGGCACGGGTATCAAACACAGTAGTATAGGCCGCATGGCACGGGTATCAAACACAGTAGTATAGGCCGCATGGCACGGGTATCAAACACAGTAGTATAGGCCGCATGGCACGGGTATCAAACACAGTAGTATAGGCCGCATGGCACGGGTATCAAACACAGTAGTATAGGCCGCATGGCACGGGTATCAAACACAGTAGTATAGGCCGCATGGCACGGGTATCAAACACAGTAGTATAGGCCGCATGGCACGGGTATCAAACACAGTAGTATAGGCCGCATGGCACGGGTATCAAACACAGTAGTATAGGCCGCATGGCACGGGTATCAAACACAGTAGTATAGGCCGCATGGCACGGGTATCAAACACAGTAGTATAGGCCGCATGGCACGGGTATCAAACACAGTAGTATAGGCCGCATGGCACGGGTATCAAACACAGTAGTATAGGCCGCATGGCACGGGTATCAAACACAGTAGTATAGGCCGCATGGCACGGGTATCAAACACAGTAGTATAGGCCGCATGGCACGGGTATCAAACACAGTAGTATAGGCCGCATGGCACGGGTATCAAACACAGTAGTATAGGCCGCATGGCACGGGTATCAAACACAGTAGTATAGGCCGCATGGCACGGGTATCAAACACAGTAGTATAGGCCGCATGGCACGGGTATCAAACACAGTAGTATAGGCCGCATGGCACGGGTATCAAACACAGTAGTATAGGCCGCATGGCACGGGTATCAAACACAGTAGTAGTATACAGTACACAGTAGTATACAGTACACAGTAGTATACAGTACACAGTAGTATACAGTACACAGTAGTATAGAGTGTTAGCAGCGCTATAGAGCACTGCTCAAGCTAATCATTGTTTTGTTGCCGTGGAATGTCTCAGTACTCCTTGTCAGTCTGGTACTAACTTGTGCACGTCTGACTGTTCAAAATCTCGTTTATTTCGTGGACTCTCATGCATGACTTGTGCCCCACCTTTTTTCATGTTTCTAACTTATCACTTCCTAGTCCCTCTATCCGAGTTCTTGAACCTTTGTACACCTTTGCTGCAAAAAAAGTCAAAATCGTATATCACACTGCATTTCACATGGCGAAAGTTGAGCCAAGCTGAATTTCTGCGATGGGAGCTGAGAGGTGGGTGTTCTTTGGGATTTCCTGATTTTGCGGTCGTTGCACCGCGCATTGCATGGCAGAATGCTTTCGTGAATCCTGCCTCAAGGCCATTACACTGTGCTCAAGTTGAGTACATGTATGGCAACATATTTTGTTGATGAATCGGCCAATCTAGTTATACGACACCAATATGGTATCTAGGGTGCAGTTTTGGCTGGTGTACCGGGGGCATTACGTTATGCTTGTGTTGGAACGCATGTTTGAGCCAAGCGAGCATTCCCGTATTCGCATAGAGTCTGCCGGCTACATCCCTATTTGATGTAACTGTGATCATGAAGCGAATGCTTGACAATTGCGGTTTGGTTTCTACTAAGGATCACGGTCACGCTAGTGATACGGTAACTGTTCAACATGTGCATCATGATTTATAACCATGTCCTAACATGTGTGTGTGCGTATGTGCATGTGTGAATTTGGGTATGTAGGTGCATGCATGTGTGTGTGTATGTGCGCATGTGTGTGTGTGTGTGTGTGTGTGTGTGTGTGTGTGTGTGTGCTTGCACGCGCATGTGCTCACGTTTCTATTGATGTAGGGTGTATATAGAATGGATCGTCAAGGTACGTGGATTATTGCAACGGTATCTGATTGATTATCCCAGCTGAGAAATCATCCACGGTTGATCCCACTCAGCATGGTGATACAGTATGATCTGCTGCTATGTGTGAGGCTCATCTGCAGAGCAACATAGTCCTCCTATATCGCTGTCCTGCACTGACAAGACTACTTCAGGTACGTCAAGTAAGCGGCAAGAACAGCAACGGAAGCAGGAACAGACATAGGACAGATGTGGTGTGCTATATCCTTATTGTAAATACTCTACAGCAGCATATCACTGTATTGAATGATAGCAGGATGAACAAGCACAGTGGAATGCAGAAGAAGATGACAAGTAACTATGGTAACATTGATAGCTGGCTTTGAGACACATTTACCAAAGTGTCTTGCGTTAGAAGCCCATCTCATATACAAGCCTTGATTTTACTATACACTGCCGGCATATATGCCTGGTTTTAGTGCTGACATACATGTATACCCACGTGACGTAGAAATACCTGATTGCAATAGAAGCCTGGTGTTAATAGAAGCCTAGCCCGGACATCGCCTTCTACAGGAATAGGTCCAGCTTTTACACTTCAACATTTTTGTCATGATTTCTGTAGTGCGAAGTCCATATTTATTGTAATTTACTCTCTATGCTGTTGCTGATAACAATGCAGATATGATTATTGTATGAACAACATCTGCTCAATAATTAAGATGTTGATGGTGTAAGATGGATGTGTGGCAGTAGGCACGGAGTATTCCCCTTACTTCAGATGCTGGTATTCTGTGCATTCATATGCATTTTAGGTTCTTGGGAAGTTGCTTGGCATGAAGTAGTACAGTCTTGTACTTTGAATCCTAGCAGCTGACTTCACACGCTTCAGTCATTGCTTGTAGGCTGAGGAATGGTTGTAGCTTGGCCGGAGCAAGGTCAAGGATCAGAAAAATGCTGAAAATTTTGAAAAGGTGCCATATTTGGATCACTTGTAGGAGAAAAGTCCAAATATGGTCTTAATTTCTGCGGTTGCCATGGCAACAAGCCCATTTTTGCCTGAAAAATGGCTGTTGCCATGACAACCATACAATATTTTGAACTGTGGTGGCTTCCTACTGTTACAGCTGCTCACCAGCCCCCCCCCCTGCTGCTACAGCTGCTGCTGCTGCTTACCAGCCACCCCCCCCTCCTATGCTGCTGCTGCTGCTGGATCCTGCAGGTACCAGCTAGGCCGGGTGCCGCTTTGATACTGCTATAAAAACCAGTTGGTTGCTAGGCTTAACTCGGCAGGTTTCCATAGCAACTTTAGGTCTTACATCTCTTAATAATGTCAGAATATAATTATTATGTCAGAATTGTCTAAAAATGGTGACTGAAATTAAAAATTAAAAACATTTTAGGCATAGAAAAAATAAGATGCAGCAGAAATGTAGTAGAACAAAGAGGATATTTGTAAAAGAATAGATCGGTACTGATCAGGCTGAAATAGAAGCAGAAAATTTGCAAAACAATATTCCAGGAATAGTAAGTACCCGTGCTGCCAGGAATAGTATGTGGCATGTAAGTAGAAAAGGAAAGATCTAGGAGCTACGAGATCATTGACCAAATTAAACTTTAAAATAAGCACCACTATTTCGTATTAAAATAAGAAAATTAATGCAGGAAGGAGATAAGTTATCAAAGTGGACAAGTATGTAAAGTTAGCCGAGAGAGAGAGAGAGAGAGAGAGAGAGAGAGAGAGAACTTGAAATAAAGAAAGTGGTGTAAAGTGCAAAAGCATAGTGCATTGCTCAATAAGAGCGAACCGCATGTCTACTACCAGTGTTAGAACATTACAATACAGCAGAGTATAATTATAGTGTGAGTGTGGAGACTGGAAGTCATAGATACAATGCACCATTGTCTATGTGAACATGGGTGTCAAGTATGGTTTGTGGCCAGCGATAGCTACACTGACACACTACATCCGTTGGAAGTCTCACTGCTGGTTGAAATCAGGAATCCACTGCAATGCTGTGGGTATAACCATGGCCTGGCTTGTAAGCCACCACTCCCTATCACCCACGATATCGCTTGGCTGCTCAAGCGAAATACCAACAGCCCGCATCGAATCAGTGTTTGCTGCTTTCTTCTAATTCTCAACACTGAGGCTACCTAGTTGGAAGGCAGCCCACCGTGTGTCAGGTGACGGGGATGGGCATTCTATATGCACTGCATAGTATACAGAATTCCTCAGCTGCTTTCTGGAGATCACCCCAGATGTGCCATCACCTATACACAAACACACAAAAGGACACAAAGGAGGTTAACAGAGTTCGTCGCAACTACCAGTTTCTTGCACAATGCAATAATCATGCAACTTGCACCCACACAAACAAATGCCCAAAGTCACACCTACACGCCAGTGTCTGCTCCAGCGCCGGGTGAGCCGGGTAATCCACCCGGTTGGGCGGCGCTTGGTTGAAAATATAGTACCGGGTCACCTGTGACCCTGTTGGTACTTTACACTTTCGAACTTTGAAAGGACTGACCAGATGGCTTGTATGTGTCAGATACTTCTTCTTCTTTCGTAATTTTCTAATTCCTGCCCTCTCTTTTCTAAATGCGGCTTATCTATTCGCCTTTATATCATTGGACCTAAGTTCCCGTTTATTGTCCGAATTAAAATAAACCAACCAACCAGTTAAAGCATGCGCCTCGGCTGGTGAGACAGCGCCAGGTACAGTGCGGATCGGCTATAGCGTTGGTGTTTGATTTTCGTGAAAATATCACTATAGGCGATATATTACTATAGGCGATATGCATACTTAGGTATGCCTGACAAATGCGTGTATGGTGTCATTCGAATCAGTGCAGCGTACAGCAGCGTGCTGTGCATGTGACTGTGCAATACGCGCAGTGCAGAGCTACTTCCTGCGGAAACAAAAACTTCGTGACTTTTTGACATGACTTTTCAAGGAATGTGTTCTTCTGGAAGAGAAACACTTCAACACATTCAATCGACATATCAACAATATCTACAGGATCGATTAGTGGGAGTAGAGTCTCAGTCTGGGTCGCCATCGCTCGACTCATCACCGCTGAAACCGTTCCAAGTGGCAGGTCGATCGACGCGTGATATCGTATGTCACGGAGAAGCTTCTCCGCGTCCCTGATCGTCTTCGCTGTTACCTGAATGCCTTCTCCAACATCTCGGCGGAGACCACGGTAGCGCTTCAGTGCTGGTTCTCATTACTGCCTCCGATCTCGCTCGAGGATGCCCCGAAACAACAAGCACAGCCAACGCCAAACATTTCGAATTTTCTCCGAGGGATATCATAGTCGTACCAGCGCTTCCTGACTACCGCGATCAGATCTCGCCATGTTCGATGTATACTTTTTATGATCATCACTATAGCCGATGAAAAATGTATGCAATAAGATCATTTTGACACAGAAATCGTATCATTATAGCCGATATATTACTTTAGCCGATTATTACTATAGCCGATCCGATATGTATAGAAAGGGGTGGTTTACGAAAATGAATTTGAGAATACGATCACTATAAGAGGTATATTACTATAGCCGACAACCCTATAGCTGATCCGCACTGTACATGTGTACCCGGCTACGACCCGGTTGAAATGGTTGCGCCAGGTACACGTGTACCCGGCTGTCCTACAATCCTAGAGCAGACACTGCACGCATGCATGCACCAACACTCATGCACACATCCACACGCATCCACGCACATGCATGTACACCCAAGCATGTATGCACGCATGTACACCCAAGCATGTATGCATGCATGTACACCCAAGCATGTATGCATGCATGTACACCCAAGCATGTATGCACGCATGGAAAGCATGCATTCTGATTGAAACAGATCAAGACAAGCGCCAGATAACTGTCTAATCCACACAACTGGCGAAGCCATGTGAATCGACCCCCCAATGCACACCTGGTCTACACCACACGGAGTACTGTAATTTCACAAATTTTCGGTGTGCTTTTATTTTCGGTACTTTCGGTGCATCTGTTTCATACCTAACATTTTAATACACCGAACAAACATTAACACATAATCCAATAGGGAACTGCTTCTCTGTACCGAAAATTTCTTTTCACCTAACCTAGCCTGTTGCCCTCATACCGAAAATTTTGAGCACCGAAAATTTCTGAAATTAGAGTATATCGGAATACGACGGCCAAGACAGTTACCTATGCACACCCTACACTTGCTGGGGTAACCAGTATAGACAGCACACCGCTCTGATAAAAGCAGACACTAGATGCACTGGTATCTTGAAGTGAAATTGGAGTTATTTTACCAACTAGCCTTGGCAACTGGGTACTGGGAACCCAGGGCCAACAGACGTACCAACAACCTCAGCCATGAAAGCTATAATTATAGTAACGACACACTGGATTGTGGAGCCGAAACTAGTCCAACTTCCTAAATGCTTTGGAAAAAGGGTAGCCTTCCGACAGGTTGGACACACACACACACACACACACACACACACGCACGCACACGCACATGCACACTTATGTGCGTGCACACACAAGCATGCACAACAGGAACATAATTATAGAGAGTAGAATAGTCAGTTGAACAAGTTACAATACAATACTGTCGGGTACTGAAGAAGGGAGTGCCGTCGAAAAACAAACAAACAGGCCAGGACTTCACCAAGCATAGGATACCAATGTATACACGGTAACACAATCGTGTATAGACTGCAGTACATGATAATAAGAACAACCTAGGCTACAAGGCTGACCCCCAAGTTCTTTAGCACAGGCAGTACTCTAGTTGGAGCAGGCATGATGCATGCAGCTGAACTAGAACTCTGAATACTATAGTCCTACTCAATGAAATCCACCCATCGAGTCACTCAAGTACACACCACGCATTCGTATACCTGCGACCACTCGGCCGAGACATGGTGCAAGGCTCATCTTAGCCCGGTTGCTCTGGATAGCTCGGTTTCCACTGTGCGGTTCTCAGTGGATGGTTTCTTCTGTATATGCAACCAACTGTTTAGCCAGAGCAGATAACATATTTTTCTACTCATAGAGACTTGTCTTGAGTTCCTGGGAATGGAACAAGGATGGACAATTGATGGGCTTGTATCATTGAGCAATTTGTACTACCCATAAGTTACTCTCGGTTATAACAGGCATCCCAGTTTCCGGGTCTGGGCTATTCTCAGAAATCCCTTGTGTGGACACTGCCATTTCCAAAGCACTGAAAACAACCAAATCAATTTTAGCCCACAGCGTTTCGGCAATATTGCCATTGTCAGGTACGAATAAAACAATGACGCCATGCCGGCCACAGAACCACAGTTTTATCAATTCAAAATCCCTTGGTTAGATCGAGCTTTCAGAATCTGTAGGAGCACCACCGTCCTCAATGGTCAAAGCACAGCTGCGGCTCCTAAAACGGTGGGAGGTGAGAAGATCATACCACCAAAGTGTTCAAAGACAGTATTCTACGAAAAATCAAGAGTCTTGATTGTTTCGTCACATTGTGAAGTCACATTCGGTCAATGTCATCTTTGTACTTGCTAAGTTACATGCACTCACAGGGTGATTCTCAATGAAATCCCATGGAGAGAGTCAATGCCACGCCAGGCGCTGTGCACCCCTACAACACTTGGATGTGAGCTGGTACAGGGTGAAAACTCGATTCACGCTATCCGATTTCATTGAGCAGCACCGTAGATCTCATAACTATTTTTCACATCTCGTGCATACACTGTAATGAGGAAAGCTAGGATTTGTAATTATCATATCTACATGGAAGGATTTCAAGCAGCGATGTGACACTTTTATACATCAAGGTGTTCCGTAAGAACTCAGTTGGTGAGACAAGGAAATATTTTAGAGGGGTACATGTTAGGCGTTAGGCATCCACCAACTACAAACCAGATTTTGAACAGTGTGCACAATATAGCATAAAACTGTCAAGGAGCACTGAGGCATTCACACGGCATAGAAGTGAACTTGAGCACAGCCCCCGCTAGCCTTGGAAGGTAGCTTCCCCTCTTTTGAATTATCCATGAACCTTCCCAGTTTGAAGGCCGTTGGTTAGCACTATCGAGCCGTGTTCCACCTCACTTCCACGCCGCGTGGAATTTCTCATTACCCCTTTTCAGTTATGTGCCAAATTGTGAAAGTCTGGTCAAAATCTGGTCTAGTTGCTGGACTCTTATCACAAAATGCGTGTGCCACTGATGTCAATGCTTTTAATTTAACATCAAGGCCTAAGTTATCTTTTTGGTGATACTGGCTGAGCTGCTCTATCGCTATTGCATTACAACGTCCAACCCAGCCATCACCATCCGACCGACGATAGTTTTCATGCAGCGCTCGTGTTGACGTGGAGACTGAGGTAACGGATCTTTGGTTTCGTGTCGTTTACTGCAAACTCTTTCTGGTTTCCTGGCAACAATGGCATTCGCAGAGAACTCACTCTGATTTCCCCCCCCCCCCCCAATGATAAATGCCTCGATAAACATAATGGTGAGGCGAGGAGGCAGGCAAGAGACAAGTCCTGGAAAGATCATTTCCGGAGAAGCCACTCGGTTACAATTTGCTATGTGATTAGAGTGAGTTCTCTACTGTCCGGTAACCAAAACAAGCTCTCAGCAAATTGCACGAATCCATTGACGCCAGGCTCCGGATCAACACGAGCGCCAGATAGAAACTACTGCAGGAAATAGCTATATTTGGGTTGTGATTGCTGTGTTGGGAAGTTGTAATCCAATAGTGCTAGAGCCGGTATCACTGAAAAGATAAATTACACATTGACACATAAGAAGAAAAGAGGACCATGTAGACGGTCAGTACGAGTACCGTCGATCAGTGTCGTGCAATGTTATCACATGAGCTGATTGTAAAGTAACGACTGGTGTTCGTGGATAAGATAGCGTAACTTGTAGCTCTTTGGCCCTCTTTTCTTCTTATAAATTAATCCTTGGCTCTCCACCCGAGTCTGACACATAAGAGTGTCACATTGCTGCATCAAACCCTACCGCGCAGATATGATAATTATAATTCCTAGCTTCATTCGAGTGACGTTGTGCATTGGTCCAGGACCTCCCAGATTATTTATTTCCTGAGTCGTGGTGTTACTGTATGTTAGAGTTTCAGCTGTCCACATGTATGCAGATATTCCCTAAAGGTTACCATGCAAAGGCCCTAGAAGTTCCAGCTGTCCACATGTATGCAGATATTCCCTAAAGGTTACCATGCAAAGGCCCTAGAAGTTTCAGCTGTCCACATGTATGCAGATATTCCCTAAAGGTTACCATGCAAAGGCCCTAGAAGTTTCAGCTGTCCACATGTATGCAGATATTCCCTAAAGGTTACCATGCAAAGGCCCTAGAAGTTTCAGCTGTCCACATGTATGCAGATATTCCCTAAAGGTTACCATGCAAAGGCCCTAGAAGTTTCAGCTGTTCACATGTATGCAGATATTCCCTAAAGGTTACCATGCAAAGGCCCTAGAAGTTTCAGCTGTCCAGATGTAATAGATATTCCCTTAAGGTTACCATGCAAAGGCCCTAGAAGTTTCAGCTGTCCAGATGTAATAGATATTCCCTAAAGGTTACCATGCAAATGCCCTAGAAGTTTCAGCTGTCCAGATGTATGCAGATATTCCCTAAAGGTTACCATGCAAAGGCCCTGGAAGTTTCAGCTGTCCAGATGTATGCAGATATTCCCTAAAGGTTACCATGCAAAGGCCCTAGAAGTTTCAGCTGTCCAGATGTAATAGATATTCCCTAAAGGTTACCATGCAAAGGCCCTGGAAGTTTCAGCTGTCCAGATGTAATAGATATTCCCTAAAGGTTACCATGCAAAGTCCCTAGAAGTTTCAGTTGTCCAGATGTAATAGATATTCCCTAAAGGTTACCATGCAAAGGCCCTAGAAGTTTCAGTTGTCCAGATGTAATAGATATTCCCTAAAGGTTACCATGCAAAGGCCCAAGAAGTTTCAGCTGTCCAGATGTAATAGATATTCCCTAAAGGTTACCATGCAAAGGCCCTAGAAGTTTCAGCTGTCCAGATGTAATACGTATTCCCTGAAGGTGACCATGCAAGGGCCCTAGCTTGCTCAGCAGAGCTTTTAAGCCTAAGAAGGCATCCAGCACATAAAGAACCGAGAGAACAAGTGCATTACAAGAGGACAACCAATAACTTACTCTTCTCAGGATTCCTGGAATGCTGCTTCTCAGATGATGTAAGCTACCCAAGAGCGTGACAAGAGCCATCCTGGATGTTCAGCATCTCGTACAACAAAAACGGCAGCAGCAGCAGCAGCAATAGCAGTGCGCGGCGTCCACAGAAGCAGCTGTGATGCCTCGGAACAGCAGCAGCTGTGATGCCTCGGAACAGCAGTAGCTGTGATGCCTCGGAACACATTGCCAATGACGTCAGCCTTAGTGCGTGCGGTTGGCCAAATGTCAGTATCAACATCATAAGACGTCGTGATGCCAACAACAATAGTGAATAGAAACACAAAGAAGAAAAGCCAAGGTTACAATATTTCTAAAGGCCTCATCAGAAACCTCCTGATGTAACTGTGAATAGCGACGTATCTCTAATCCCTTCACCATCATGAACAATATGTTCTCAGCATAGTAGACAGAACATGCTAGCTTGTAAAGACAATAATCTGTTCTCTGGCAATTGTCAACTTTACACCAGACAGCAGCTAGCCACCTTGCAGTACCACTGGATGCAAACTAGCATGTACTTAGTTACATAAAGCAGTCCTTTGACCATTTCCAATGGCCGGTGTATATCATGTACTGTGCTGTGCATGTGTCAGTCTATGTATATCTTGTACTGTGCTGTGCATGTGTACGCGTCATATATCACTGGTAAAGACTCACTGCACTTCTACTATCATAACCAAGTAAACGTTAGTAGCATCACAGTTGGTGCTCATGTAGCTGCTGCTGCTTCTGCTGCTTCTGCTGGTGTGTTATCTACTACACACCAACTATATGCACTCCCAGTGTGCGTGACAAGAAGCCGACATAGCCACAGAATAGATTACAACATACTACTGATGCTACCATTTACATCATTTCATTTCTATACACATACAGTGTACGTACACAAACTGTCGGCTCATCCCCGGGAATATAGAGCAAAAACAATCATCATTTCTAGAAACGTATCTGAAAGGGAAATACAAGCACAATCACATTCAATCCACAAGGACTTACAGTTTCTACATAAGGCACAGCTCTCTTCAGCTAGAACAATCAGGTGACACCTCCACACACAGCAGTCCAATCCAGGGAGCAGCACCAGTCTGCAGACTGATCAAAGCATCTTGTTCTATAGAGCTGCAGAAACCTGACAGCAATACCAAACAGACAGCAGTAAATAGAAAATAGAAAATATCAAATTAAAGGGAAACTGAACGCCAAAAATAAGTATGGCTTATCCGAAGGAGAATTGGGCACTGATTCCGATGAGCTATGTCTCGAGCCGATCAGAGAAGAGGAACTGTGTCAAATTTCATAAATAACACCTCCCATATTTGGAAATTGGCCTTGATGACGTGCGTACTGCTTAGCTGTCACCATGCTGTGCATGTTCAGCAGTGTAATTGAATGGAAGAAAACAATTACTTTGGTGTTTTGCAGCTCTGTTTCGTTCCCTGACGGTAACCAAATCTAGATGTAGGAATCTGTTGAGCAGGAGAGTGACACATGTCTTCCCGAAGGCTGTCCAGGCTGCAGTGGTGATGAAGAAGACACGATCATCACCCCGAGATCGATCGTAGCGAATTGGAAAACTCATGGTGAATTTGCTTCCACTCCAAGGCAATGTCGAGGTATGAAGGGTGCTTATACTGCCTTCCAAAGTGAAGAGGAGATGAACATGGCTTTGCATAGCTGTTGTTCTATGCCAACTTACCTACTCTTGCTGGTACCGTAGTGCTATATTGCAAATTTCGTGGACGAACAACTCTAGTCACTAGTGGCTAGTGAGCAACACTAACAGGTGAGATTTTTCAATTCGACAAAAATTGTTTTTGTTTGAGAACTGACAGTGGCAGTCATTAGACTCAGTAGGTGTCTCTCTGCTGCTTCTTTCCCTTCATCGGTAGGGTTGTGCTTGAAGTAAAAATAAATAGGAAATGTGGAACAAAAATCTGATCATGTAATTCGACTTTGAACTTCAAAGTATGTGTACATCAAATCACAAAAATGACTGTCAAGGTGGTGCTGTGCATTGAAAAAGACTGGGAGCTGGCAGCAATGGAAAGGGTAGAAACGAAACCAGTAATGCAGAGTATTCATAAGGTAGAGGGAGATGAAAACGGGAGAGGAGTAGTGAGCACTTCAGTTTGAAGTAGTGTCAATAGACAGCATCGTGTTGCATACGTTGTGAATATTGTGTGAATCTAATAATTGTCACGAAATTGATATCCAAAATTATTGTCCCCTGAGTAGTATTATGGTGTTCTCCTGCGTTTACATGCAGAGCCTTGACGTTGCTGGACGAGCGACAATATAAATTACATAAACATGTAGCTCGTGATGTGGGATGACTGCCGTATCGCATTGCCAACGCAAACCCTTCCTGTGTCAGTGCAGCCATCCAGCAACTTGAACTCCCCGGACCAGATGCCGCTGCAGCTGAACACCATGCCGATGGAAAGCCAGTAGTTGATAGCGAAGCATTCTGGTCTGCACAGTACAAGGCAAAGAACAATTATGAATTATAATGCATTGTAATCTTTCCCACACTTCTTTGTAAAAACAAACAAACAGTGCCATTATCACAACACTTGATCAAGCATCTTGATGGAGGTATTTTCCATTGTGCTGGCTCAGCATCTGCACCAGGAAGACCATGTACACTTACACGTATCTTGTGTGTGTGTGTTCGTGCGTGTGTGTTTGTGTATCTGTATGTGCACACGTGTGTGTGTGGGGGGGGGGGGGGCACGCACATGTGTATGGGTAGGAGTGTGTGTGTGGGGGGGGGGGTACACGCACATGTGTATGGATGTGCGCGCTGCATGCGTGTGTCTGTGGGATGGGGTAAGGGTGCACGCACATGTGTACATGTGTGTGCGCAATACAGCATGTGTGTATGTGTTCGTTGAACACAGGGTGTACTCCTGATTACATAAACTTCGTGATCATTGTGATTTCATGTGCTTTGAAGTTGAACTTCGCAATACATGTACTGATGCTTGATTAGATTTATGTTCCACATGTTCTATTTATTTTATTTTACTTCAAGCACTTGTACTATTCAAGCACAACCCTACCGATGAAGGGAAAGAAGCAGCAGAGAGACACCTACTGAGTCTAATGACTGCCACTGTCAGTTCTCAAACAAAAACAATTTTTGTCGAATTGAAAAATCTCACCTGTTAGTGTTGCTCATTAGCCACTAGTGACTAGAGTTGTTCGTCCACGAAATTTGCAATATAGCACTACGGTACCAGCAAGAGTAGGTAAGTTGGCATAGAACAACAGCTATGCAAAGCCATGTTCATCTCCTCTTCACTTTGGAAGGCAGTACAAGCACCCTTCATACCTCGACATTGCCTTGGAGTGGAAGCAAATTCACCATGAGTTTTCCAATTCGCTACGATCGATCTCGGGGTGATGATCGTGTCTTCTTCATCACCACTGCAGCCTGGACAGCCTTCGGGAAGACATGTGTCACTCTCCTGCTCAACAGATTCCTACACCTAGATTTGGTTACCGTCAGGGAACGAAACAGAGCTGCAAAACACCAAAGTAATTGTTTTCTTCCATTCAATTACACTGCTGAACATGCACAGCATGGTGACAGCTAAGCAGTACGCACGTCATCAAGGCCAATTTCCAAATATGGGAGGTGTTATTTATGAAATTTGACACAGTTCCTCTTCTCTGATCGGCTCGAGACATAGCTCATCGGAATCAGTGCCCAATTCTCCTTCGGATAAGCCATACTTATTTTTGGCGTTCAGTTTCCCTTTAAGACTGTTCACATACCAATCACAGACAGACAAACTCACACGAAAACGCACACACATGAACATACATGTACGCACACACAAACACGTACGCGCATATGCACACGATTCCATCCCGCGACAGCGCGTCCACTACAGCGCGAGGCATTTCAGCGCGACCACTTCAGCGCAAGGCATTTCAGCGCGAGGTAGGGTCAGCGCGAGGCACTTCAGCGCTAGGTAATGTCAGCGCCAGGTACTTCAGCGCGATGTACTGTCAGCGCGAGGTAACGTCAGCGCCAGGCACTTCAGCGCATATATGTCAGCGCGAAGCACTTTCGTGCATACTATAGTACGCATTATCGTAAGCACGGAATTAGTGGTCTTGTCTGCACTCTCGCTAGCGGGATTTGGTGATTTGGTGATTCTTTGACAAACTTGTTTTCACATAGTTTATTGAAATTATTTAGTAGGCATATAGCGATATGACAAGAGAATCCGTAGATTAGAAATGAAGAAGTCGACCAACATTCGAAAGAAATTCAAAATTGGTGATTTCCTCATTTGCACGTCTGACTTCCAGGACGCGAACTCGGTCGAATGTGCCGTCCATGAACCAATCTCGATGTTCGGAGAGGAGTCTGAGGCAGGCATCAGTTGCGAAAATTTACGAACACTCCTCGCCAACGTACAGCGTGTTCTTCACCATGAACCTGTTCTGTCCAATCACGGTGAAAAGAGGAGGAAGCTCCTCCAAATCTGCAACTTCCTGGGGTAGAGGCGGATAGGCTTGATATGATCGGCAATCCGGGTGTGGCGGCAGGGTGCTCCTCGTGTGTCGCTACAGCGACTTGATCATAAATCTCTGTCACTGGCCGTGATGTTGACTTCGCCAAAGTTTTCATTGACGAAACCGCTTTCCTCGTAACACAGTCATTGGCATTGGGAGCGTGGGTGTGCTGTGCGGCACCTCTTGGTTGGGGTACACCATCCAAGCCCATCGTCTCCTTTCTCACAGAACACGCATGGTCAATGCACCGCCAATAATATCGTTCGCCGTCAGCAGCACGCTTATCAAGGCGATAAATGCAACCATCTTGGCAGAATGCCGGCTTGCCCTTGCCTGTCTCAAATTGGTTCAATTCCATTTTTGAGAGTTAGCTTGCATAGGAAAATTAAGGAAAATTATGGCCTATCCCCGAAAATACTGTGTCTTTTATAGGGCGACTGGTGTACATGGCAGTGGTAATACCCCGTACAAGTTAGTTGTCAATAGTCATTGATAGTCACTAATAGTCACTAATTGGTGCCCGTACGTACATTAACATGTACGGCGCTGAAGTGCCAGCCGCGGAAAAAGCTGCGCTGAAGAAATTGGAGCTGACAGGTCCTGCGCTTTAAAATTTCGCGCTGAAATCATTGGCGCTGTCAAGACACGGCGCTGAAATGGCACCGAGCTGAAATGCCTCGCGCTAAGGCGGTCGCGCTGAAGTGCACCGCGCCAACATGGACGCGCTGTCGCGGGAGGTTACTATGCACACACTTGCTCACTGCCAGAAACTGGTCACATAGATATGCCTGGTAGAGAGGAAAGAGATTCAAAAGGAGTCTCGGAAAGATGGCTCAATTGGCTCACTTGTGAGCTGAACAAACCTCAATATTTTCGGGAGGACAGGGTGCAGAAAAAGGAGTAAGGGAATTAATTAACTGGTTTGACGGAAGACACAAACGGGAAAAGCCTGAAGAAATTTTTACTATCACCACCCGGATTCGAACCAGGGACCTTCGCTTAAGCCAACGATGCTCTAACCACTGAGCTAAGGTGTAGTCGTCATTCCAGTCAAGACCGTTCAACATTTTCTTTCAGACGTCGTAACTCACACTTCCTTTGAATCCACACAGGCGGGTGGGACGCAGCCCTCACTGTAACCCACACACTTCACATACAATCTAGCACGCGGGGAGCCCCAAGTCATAAAAATATTACTTCAGTAACTGGTTTGAGGGAAAGACACACACGGGAAAAGTCTGAAGAAAAACTGTCACCACCAGGATTCGAACCAGGGACCTTTGCTTGAGGCCAGCGATGCTCTAACCACTGACCTAAGGTGTAGCCGTCATTCCAGCAAAGACCGTTCAACATTTTCTTCAGACTTTGTCACTCACACTTCCTGTTAATCCACACATGCGTGTGGGACGCAGCCCTCACTGTAACGCACACACTTCACGTACAAACTAGCACGCGGGGAGCCCAAGGAATTAATTAAGGTATCCGTTCCAGGTTCCACCTGCAGTTATGCCTGCTCCCAGTGCAGGAACACGGGGAAACTAGCTGGCGTAGGTAGCTAAATCAGAGCAGATTAGATATATGGTCAGGCGCGTACGCAGGGTCACCTCTAGGGGGCTTTCCAACCGAATCGCAAACAATTAATGACTCGTTTTAACCCTTTCTAAAGAGCCCTAGGAAATTTTCAAATTATGCATTTTGTAGTGTTCTTTGGATCATAACGTCAGTTCTACTCACTCAATCTTCATTATCTTAGGCTTCCTGGAAGTGGAAAGGTACCAGGGAGAGAATGAGGTCGACCATGATAGCCAGGACACAGTACAGCCATGTACATATCCAGCGCTATATGCTATAGCAGTGGAGTGCAGCGACAGTGCGAAAAAATGCCTCAAACTGAGCCAAAGGCCCAAACGCGTCCTGCTCCAGCGATTTCGTTTTTCTTCATCGCAGAGTTTCGGTTTTTTTGGTGTGTACTCTTGAAAATATCACAAGTGAAGCCCCTGCAAATTTGAGCAAGTCAGCATGACGAAAAGTCTCTAATTCTCGATACTCGAGTCGCACTGCGCGCTTTTGAAATTGCGAGATCGCGGCTCGACTTACGAGCGATTTATCTCAAGAGACATTGCTTGCAGCGCGTCGCAAATTGTTTCAACCGACAGCTGAGAGTTTTCTATTCGACCTGGATATTTGGATCATTGGATTTGAGCGAGATTTGACTCAGTTACGATCTGTTGACATTTTGCATTCTTGCCAGATCGATCGTGCGCCCCACCAAAATATGCCCAAAAACGTTGCTCGTTTAGAACATTTGGGGGGTTTCCGGGCAAGGCGAACCCCCCCCCCCCCCTTTTTGTGCGCGCCTTGCACGATGTGCAACACATACAGTATATGTGCACAAACTGTCGGGTCATCCCCAGGAATACAGAGTAGAAACAACCATCATTTTTGAAAAATATCTGAAAGGGAAATACCAGCACAATCACATTCAATCCACAAGGACTTACAGTTTCTACATAAGGCACACTTGTCTTCAGCTACAACAATCAGCTCACACCTCCACACACAGCAGTCCAATAGAGGGAGCAGTACCAGTCCGCAGACTGATCAAAGCGTCTTGTTCTTCGGAGCTGCAGAAACCCGACAGCAATAGCAAACAGACAGCAGTAAATGGAAAATATAAAAATATCAAACTAAGACTTACCAATCACAGACAGACACATGTGGGACGCAGCCCTCACTGTAACCCACACACTTCACATACAAACTAGCATGCGGGAGCCCCAAGTAATAAAATATTAACTGGTTTGAGGGAAAGACACAAACGGAAAAAGTCTGAAGAAAAACTGTCACCAACGTGATTCGAACCAGGGACCTTCGCTTGAGCCCAGCGATCCTCTAACCACTGAGCTAAGGTGCAGCCGTCATTCCAGTCGCGACCTGTAAGGTGCAGCCGTCATTCCAGTCGCGACCGTTCAACAATTTCTTCAGACTTTGTAACTCACACTTCAGATGAATCCACAAGTCGGGTGGGACGCAGCCCTTACTGTAACCCACACACTTCACGTACAAACTAGCACACGGGGAGCCCCAAGTCATAAAATATTAATATTAGCTGGCAAGAAAGGTAATTTTTTCGATTTGTAAACATCAATACAACTAACACAGAACTCTCTATGAAGGTTGGTGTACAGCGCATGCTTTGTGCACGCTTTGCACAATGTGCAGCGTTATGTAAAATGTGACATCAACAATGCGTCCTGGACCAGACCAGCTGCGGAGTTACGAACCCTTCTTGATGTACCTCTGACTATACTAACTTATTTTATTCCTCTTTTATCTAGTTTTATAAAGCCTAGTCACTCACATTCGATGGGCCCAACTGGACGCTACGTAAGAAGTAACAGGAAACGAAGGGACACTCATGACACCTATTGATGGCTTCTAATGCAAACACCAGGAACGGGAACACAAACAAATTTCTGTACAATCAGCAAGCAACGGGAGAGTTGTATCTGTTCAACTTTTCATACCGCATGAGCCGATGCAAGCATGCAAAATGGCTTCAATTCTTATTGTGACCTGGAGATGATGTTGTGCGCCCTTTTTCGGCAGGTACGTACAACTTAGCATCAGGGCATAGATTAACGGACGGACATCGGACATTTTCCGGCCATTTTCGGCCACTGACTGGACGTTTTCAATTTCACCGGACATAGTGTCCGGTCAAAAGTAAAAAAGAGAGCAGCGACCTTTCGACCTTTTTATGCAGAGTTGGGCTTTCTTCGGAGCTTCGTGCCAAATGCGACTTGCATATCGTACAACTAACACGTACACCGTAGTCTCAGGCGTGAGATGAGCGATGCACTTGACCTGGAAGACTGGGATGCCTTCTTCGCCGAGTAGGAATATCAGCTGCAACTGAATTCTTGACTGCAACGCTTTCTTGTACATATATTTGTCGTCAGTAAATAGTTCAGTTTCTAATACAAATAAATTGGTGAATTGTACAAAGTAATGTGTGAGATACGTCCACATAATGAGTCATTGTGAATATACTTCAGTACTACTAAAAAAAGAAAAAACACCCTGAAAATGTGTTGTGGAAAATGTCCGGGCATGTCCGGACAGATTTCAAAACGGAAGGACATTTGTCCGAGCTAAATGAAATCCTTAAGCTATGCCCTGAGCATGTTTCGGCACTTGAACACTAGCTTCCCTTGATAACTCACTTGAACACTAGCTTCCCGTGATAACTCACTTGAACACTAGCTTCCCTTGATAACTCACGCGATGGCTCAAATGACTGCGTTGAGTTTTGGCCAGCTAGGTAGAAATGCATGCTATTTGCTCTATTTAGGGATTGTCCTGGAATGCACCAGGTGAACTGCCTTATCATTTTCTGTGGCAATGATTAGAATGGCACAAAGTCCATGACTGCTTTTGGTCTTCATGGAAAACGGGTATTGTGAGCGTATTGTTGCAATACATCTTGTGCATAGCTTGAATTGTGCCCTGAGTGGGGAAATCAGCAAAAACCTCCAAAAACCTGCTAATTATTTTTCGTCCAGCCCAACAAGGCGAACCGGATAATTGATCATCCGGATAGTTTACGTCCGGATAGTCAATCATCGGGATCCGATAGTGGACGTCCGGATAATCGATCATCGGGATAGTTGACGTCCGGATAATCAGCGTTCTACTGTACTCCTTTCCAACTGAAGCGGCACAATGCTCACAATACCAGTTCTTCATGAAGTCCAAAACAAATTATCCACAGATACTGGGCCACTCTAATACCAGTCACAGTAGAAGATAAAGCAGTTTGTCTGACCCTCTCCGGATCTATCCCTAAATACAGCGAAGGACATGAAATCTTAGCTGGCTACAATTCAACTCAGTCGTGTGAGCCATTCAGTGAGTTATCACTGGAAGCACAGAGTCGGAAATACTAAAATTTGCAAAAGTTTCAGTTGAGTGCATCGGCGCACAGCGCCGTCACCAGTTCACACTCGAAATGCAGTTGTTTTCTACACTTGCGTTGCTGCGTACGGTATGAAAAGTTGATCTGATTCAACTCTTCCGCCGCTTCCCTATCTATAGGGCAGTACGGTTACGTTTTAGTTACTAGTATTCACATTGGATGTTTTAGTTCCTAGTATTCACATTGGATGTTTCAGCTCCTAGTATTCACATTGGATGTTTTAGTTCCTAGTATTCACATTGGATGTTTCAGTTACTAGTATTCACATTGGATGTTTCAGTTCCTAGTATTCACATTGGATGTTTTAGTTCCTAGTATTCACATTGGATGTTTCAGTTCCTAGTATTCACATTGGATGTTTTAGTTCCTAGTATTCACATTGGATGTTTCAGTTCCTAGTATTCACATTGGATGTTTCAGTTCCTAGTATTCACATTGGATGTTTCAGTTCCTAGTATTCACATTGGATGTTTTAGTTCCTAGTATTCACATTGGATGTTTCAGTTCCTAGTATTCACATTGGATGACATTAATCAGGGTCATGACCGTCCAGTCGGTTTCTGTTGCTCCCAAACTTGCATTCCATCGTGTCCAGTCAAATCTGAACTAAACTGTAGGCATAAATATAAATACAATGCTCTCCCTAGATAGGTATAATTGTTGTGATACGTTTCCATCATGATTGTCTCATGATAATCAATAGAGGAATTTCTAGGTCGTGTTCCCTCAAACTGATGGATATTTGATGGACACCTGCCCTGTGATCAGTATCCTAATCTCATCTTCTTGAACTACTTCCTATCATATCGCCCTACATGCATTACCCGATACACTTCGCATTCATACTCATTCTTCCAAGTTGCTTCACGTTATGATCTTGCATTAGAAAGCCCTACCGTATTTTTCCGGTTGTAAGTCGACCTTTTACGACTTAAAATAGAAGGAGAAAGGGTGGGGGTCGACTTACAACCGGGATTCGACTTATAACCGGGAACTATCAGTATCTTACAAAAAATGACCTGCACTGCATGCACGAGTGCACCATGTTTACACATTTTGCCAGTTTATTGGCCTTTTTCAAGGATTGGGACGTTATATCCTCCAATAAGGAATGTTTATATGATTTGTTGATGTGTTAGTAGCAGGAGGTGGTTAGTAGTGCTTCTTTGGGTGAAAACTTTAAAACGCAGAATTGAGACCTCCAGATAGGGGGGTCGACTTATAACCGGGGTCGACTTACAACCGGTAAAATACGGTATTTGAATATTGTGGCCAGCTGTTTGTGGATAGCTGTCTTTGATGTAACGGTACGGGACAGATACGGGATAACGCCAGACGGAGGTCCGTCCGCCACAAACACCAAATTAAAGCTGTGTGGACCCTGGCTAGCGCCGGACGTTACTGAAGTAACGTCTTCTGCATAGCTACGGGAATAGTGGTGTGTACACCGGCGCGAACACTGAGACCCTATGGTCTATATTGCAAATTTGCTTCAGCAGTACTGCCCCTCCCCCCCCCACCCCTTCAATTTTGATTGTATCCTAAAACCAGCTGAACGTCTTCTTACCTGGGACCAAACAAGGAGGTGTCATTCTACTGTGGTCTTGCACACAACTTGATACGCATGATCTGAAAGCAAGCAGCTTGGCAGAGAATCTTGTTACGTCGTAATTGCCACTCAGCTTCACCATTGCGCAACATCCCTTCAGTGTGTCTGCACCTTGATAGCTTTACACCAGAGAATACAGGTCTGCTTCTGCAGTGTTAGCTTTGTCAATACAGCACCTGCTCGGCATTAGAACATTGTAGAGTTTAATTCCTTGCGCCGCAGTCTTTCACCAGTCAGCTAATATTCCAGGCTGTAGCTGACGCGGTGATATGATATTATGAGACCAGCACATGTCCAGAGTCTTTGTAATAGTACCAATGTATCCCTTCTTGCCCAGACTCCTTGCAAAAAATAATGCTTGCCTTCCTGCACAGATGATAATTTAATAATATCTTTCAGACCCAGACCATCCTTTGCGAAGCCGATGATAGCGAGACAGGCTTGGTAATAACGACTGAAAGGCAACACGGCGCTGAACTACTTCCAGGTCTGGCAGTCAAGGCGAGGAGAGTCAATTGAAATAGCCTGGCTGCTCCAGGACTTGCACGGGAGTCAGAAGGGAAACAAAGGGGGTGGTTTCAACACGCGCTCGGTGGCGACGACCAACAATTCTTTACCGATACGAACGGGTTTTACTGCTGTATTTGAAGATATCTTCCACGCCTTGCAGCAACGCCAACGGTACTAACGGCAAGTTTGGAGCCCTCTCCGCTAAAGCAGTCTATGAACTGAAAAAGCCTTTCTGGAACAAGAAGACACGAGCAAGAACAGCAAGAAGGCATCTCTGTATTCTGCAAGCTTGGACCTTGAGAGAATTATTTCCTCGTAAAATACAACGGAGAGCGAGATAAGAAGTGATTACTAATACTACACTCTACAGAGCATTTTATTGACTGTGCTCTTGGTAGATCTACTGGGCATGGGATTCAAAAATGCACGGCGCTACCCTTTTGCACGGCGTCCTTCTAAAAAAACTGCTGCGCGCTAGCGCGTCTAGCGCTGAGCTGAGAACAAAAAGGTTCGCAAATCTCTTGCCAGTCTTCGTGGTCTTGCCTCTTGACTTGTAACTTTAGTTGTAGATCTACTGTTGTAGCCTTGCTCTTTGTGACTTTGATTTTGACAGCGCTAGCGCTACTCGCAGCGTCTTCATCTTTTTCCTCGCACATGGGATTTTTTGAAAAATGCTCCATTTGAATTTGACGATAGATTTATAATATTAATAAATAATAATTAATATTATTAAATTTTATATTCGATTCTCATCCAGCTAGCTAGCTATGTCTGTGACCATGGTGACACCCTGTCAGCCTCTGTCAGTCCCCCCCCCCTCTGTCACAGGCGAAGGACTGGAGTCTGTCACATGCACAGGCTGTAGTCTGTACAGTCTCATGTACTACCGTACTGGCAATTATTATGTTGCCGCAATGAGGCCATGAAGCGTTACACTACGGAGGATTAGCAAGACGAAATTCGCGTTCGCGTTCGCAAACATTTTTCAGTTCGCGAACTGCATTGCGAACTTTCGCATTTTTCGTTCGGAAAAGTAGTCGGAACACGAATCGCGGATTCGTTTCAGGGCAGTCATAAATTTACCACGCTGTACTGTCTGTAGACAATGTACGTCGTGTCAACATCATGCATTTGCGAATTCTGTTTGCTAATCCTTCTCATAACGCGAATTCCGTCACTGAGTTCGACTTTCCTTGGAGAGCGAACGCGAACGCGAATTTCGTCTTGCTAATCCTCCGTATTGGCACATGTTTGCCGCACGCAGGGCGTTACGTGCGAAGTCGCACAGGAGCCGTTACACAGGTTTCTATATTGCCGCAGTCCTTTTTTTGCTATTGCCGCATCACTTTTTTGCTATTGCCGCATCATTTTTTTTGCTTTTGCCGCATCATTTTTTCTTGTGCAGTGCAAACTGCAATGAAAAGATCGCCGCACCCCGCCGGACGCGCGTTACGAACTCAACGAAAATTTGTCGCACTAGCCTGGTCGCGCGTTACGCCGCACCCCCCCCCCCTGCGTTACGCGTTACGCGGCAACATATATTGCCAGTACGGTAGTAAAAATAAGACAGTACAGTGTAGTAGGAGTGGTAGTCATTGGTACATGGTAGATTGACAGCATGAAACAAGGACTTAGGTGGAGGACACTGTGTTCGGAAACAGTGGCCTTACGTACATTGTATACAACAATCTTCCGCGGTTAGCAGAGCCCCGATCCCTGCGGACCATTTGGTTATGGGTGTTGAACCCGGTTCTGACCCTCATTATGCTAGGGGAGTAATTGGGTTATATAATAGTCATGTACATGTACATGTACATGCAATCGTGTGGATAAAATAGTTGTGAGCATGGTCATTGCCACTGATTGGTTAAGTGCTGGCAACTGAAATCCGACCCCCTAGCGGTGCGTCCACATTCTATCGGTTTCTGTTTCGTAGTTTTAGTTTTTAGTCTTGGGTCTTTGCGATGTGAGCGCACCGCTCAGGGGGTCGGATTTCAGTTGCCAGCACTGTACATGACATTGTACAATACAGCTACCGCCAGTACCGCCAGTACCGCCAGTACCAGTAATGCGGTATACTACCAGGCAGTGGCTAGGCCTTGACGGATTATGCTAATATTTTCGTGAAATTATGCTTTTCGCATTGCTGAAAAAATTGCAGAATTATGCTATTTTTATGCTAAAAGTTATCATATTATGCCGCATTATGCTCACATACATGTATGCTGCTAATGTATTATGTATTATGATGGTTCTTTGCAAAATAGCAGGGGAATATTTTTGTAGAGGGCGTTGTACTGTAGTAGTAGAAGTTCAATGGGGTCAACGCACCGTCCGACCTAGCTACGACCGTCGCTGATTGTAGTGGACTGGACATGTTATCAAGGGAGTCGTAAACCTACGACTTCCTGGTACATCTACTGTCTTGTAGAACATGACAACTGTATGGAATTTGATGCGAACAGGCGGATTATTCCAATTTTATGCGATTCGTATGCAATTTGCCTCGACTTATGCGATTATTCGATTTTGGTAGGAATTATGCGAAAAATTATGCTAGCATAATCCGTCAAGGCCTAGCAGTGGCCACGCTACCGCCAGTACCGGTAATGCGGTATACTACCAGGCAGTGGCCACGCGAAGATGAATGCATGCAGCCAAGTCCCAAGATTAGGCCATCAATCCATCATCTCCTTCATTAGGCTTCAATGAATGCCAATGGCTTCATCCACGATATCACGGTGGCCCGGCGGTCCAATTCCAGTCCACGAGAAAGCTAGAGACTTCTTAAATAAAATTCAACACCAACATCAACATGTTAATTAACAGTAACTGTTCAAGTCCACGTCGCATACGAGTAGGGGTAAGCGGATTATGCTCGGAAAATGACCAGATTATGCTCCAGCGGATGCTCGCAGGATGCTCGAAAAACAGCCAATTATGCTCTTATATAAAAGTAAAATAAAATAAATTCGACGGGTTCGCGTACCGGGCAGGTCAAGAACAAGGAGTCGTACAACTCCCTGGCCAAGAACCACCTTTCCGCTCCCGTGGGACGCCACCACCCCATGATCAGGCGTCGGATGCGGCTCCTAAACGGTGGGGGAGGATAGATCAGATCCACCAACCAGAGGCCAAAGGCCTCAATCCCATTTGCCACATCCATGTATTACTCATGCCAGGCCACGAGTTCCCAATTAACTGTGGGTCGCAGCACGGTTGGAAAAATCCTTCCGCTTCGAAGCAGGACTTGAACCTGGTACCTCTCTGATGCTTTTATATTCTTCACCAAAAAGACCAAAAGAACAGATAATTTGTAGTAAAGAAAAAAGGACCAAGAAACTACAAGTTACGCTATAATGTCCACTAACTAGCCCTTTCCCAAAGGTGCTGTTTCAATTCGCACTTAGTGCTTTTCGCGTCCCTCAAAATATGCTGCAAAGTGCTCTTTTTCAGTGAAAACAGGCAAAAAGTGCTCTTTTTTCAGTGAAGGATAGCCATGATACATGTTCAGATATGAACCTAAGCTGAGAAATGAATACGCACTCTTCCATTTATGGGTCCACGAAAGGCAAAACAGGAAGTAAAGTTCAAAAAACCCACTTTTACTGCATTCTGTACATCGGGTACAAGCTTCACCAACTTGTTGCCCCCGCCCCCCCCCCCCCCGAAAGTGCGGCGTGCTAAGGCCCATCCAGATCGAGCACTCGGAAACTGTGACCCCAGGCATGAGCAAACAGATTTTAGCACTTTTCAGCTAAAAAAAGCTCAAAAAGGGCGATATTCACCAAAAACGCAATAAAGGCCGAAAGAAACGGGCTTTTCCAAAAGGGCGAAAAAAGGACGCGCACCTTTGGGAAAGGGCTACCACTAACACCAACAATTATTACATGTTAACAATGAGCTCATGCGATAACATTGCACGATACTGACCGACGGTACTGACGTTCTACCACTAACTGGCTAACAGCTCTAGCACATCTAGGATGCGCACTCCAACAGCCTTACAACTTGGAAGCTTCTAAGTTATAGAAATAAATTTACCATTGGCTCTCCATCCGAGTCCATTCTACATGTAGAACAGATAATCGTCGTGAAAAAAAAGGACTCGGACCATTGTCATGATGTGGACTGGGAGCTAAGCTGCTTAGTGGAAGTACAAGACAATAATATGCAAAAGGACTACCAAATTCACAAGCAAATGCTGAACTTTTGGGAGCTGTCCTATTTAAATGGCTGCTAAAATAATTATTCCAAATCGACAAGAAGCGCTATATACATGTACAGTTTGAGCACTCTGGCAAGGTACGTTCGAGCCTGGTAGGAAATTTTTATTTCCATTGCTATCAGGTTCGGCCTCATTTCCTCTCTGCTGCGCTGACGAGTCCACAAAGGACGAAACAGTTCTGTCCGCAGATTGAGTACATGTACATGTACATAATTATATGGTCCTTCAATATCAGGAGTGTACATTTACATGTAAATGTACATGTTTGTCATGTAACAGCCTCATTAGGCATCTGTCCTTGTTTTTCGGATGCCATTTATGCTCCTTCTCAAACAGGGCCTGATTATACCAAAAATTATGCCGGCCGGGCATAATCCGCTTACTCCTACACACGAGTACTCAAGCATACATGTACATGTAGTGCGCGTGCCCGCCCTTTGCCTCTGGCTTTGGCCCTTTGCCAGATTTTTTTTCAACTGGGTCCAAATGCTGTTTCAAGTGTTTGTCACGCTTCGCTTCAAATTTGATTATTTTTTTCTCTTTTCAGGCAGTTCACTTCCACGACTGAGCCTTTGAATTTGAAGTTCTCCCAATCCTTTCAAAATTTAATCCCTTTCTTTCCCCTCTGGTAGTGTCCAGAAACTGGCCGTGGTTGGTCCCCTGGGGGAGGGAAAGAGACCCAAGTGCCATTAGTATGTGTGGCACGTGTTGTGAGCTGCTTTTGGAGTGAAAAACTACTACTAGTCAGCGCCTTCTAGGTTCAGCCTGGTCCCATAGCTCATTGACTAGAGCATTGCTCATGACAAGCAAGGTCTCGGGTTCGAGTCCTGGTGGCTCTGGCAATTTTGTTCTCTTTTCAGGCAGTTCACTTCCCCGACTGATCCTTTGAGTTACCCCAATCCTTTTAAAAATTTATCACTTTCTGTCACCTCTGGTAGTGTCCAGAAACTGGCCGTGGTTGGTCCCCTGGGGGAGGGAAAAAGACTCAAGTGCCATCAGTATGTGTGGCACGTGTTGTGAGCTGCCTTTGGAGTGAAAACTTGTCAGCGCCTTCTACGCTCTATCGTGAGTGAACAAAGACCACACTACTACTGTCATCTGTATCTTTCTGTTGTGTGTGGGTGTGTCTGCGGTGTACGCAGAGGCCAGCTAGCTGGCAAAAATAAATAATAATAATAATAATGAAAAGTTCAACATCCGAGTTTCAAATAAAAGGTCCAGTATACATGTAAATGTATGTCATCGCTACGGCATTGCCATTAGGGCCCGTTTGTGGTCAGGGTGGGAGAAAAGTGAACAAATGGACAAAAGTCAAGGAGGGATCCGCCCCTGCTCCGTCTTCCACTACGGCCGTTCGGGAGCCCATCAAGAGTACTAGTATACCGGTATTGTTATTACGTCATGTATAGTATACCGGTATTGTTATTACGTCATGTATAGTATACCGGTATTGTTATTACGTCATGTATAGTGTACTGGTACTGATACTTGATAGCATTTAGCGAGAGAGGAGAGGGGAAGGCTTTCTTTTCTAGGGATACCGAGAGGTTATTTATATTTCTGGTCATTGCTCCACCAGTGCGCCTTATCTAGCTCCGCCAGGGACTGTCGTACAAACGAATCCCTGCCGTTCACTTCTCTGGACATTCAGAATCTAGGTATTACTGATGATGCATGCACGTGCTAAAACATATTACTACAGGCGCGAACTGATGGTGGCGGTGAGCATGAGAGCTCTGTGCCAGCATAACGTTGCAGCCTAGAGAGAGTGTGTGGGCATGAGTGTATTTACCGCCATATTGCCAGGTGTGTATTTACCACCATGTGAATCAACCATGAGTACAGCTGCAGTGGAGTCTTCAACTTCATACTACACGTATTGTCATTATTACTCTGTGCACGGCATGGGAATCATAGACCACACACTAGACTTCAGAATGCGCTGATCGCGCTTGTCTCAATGCTGCCTGCTGGTTGAGTTTATCTACCCCTATCGTAGAAGTGTGCACGATGCTCATAGAATGATACTATGCCGCAGCTATGTCAGGGAGACGCGGCCCTGCGGCCACAACACCACTTCAGCAACTGTCAACGCGAAACATCCATTTCTGTACGGCGGTAAAGAACGAGGCGCCAATCCTACCAGACATTCCGAGGGACAAGCACGTTTTTACCGCATCATTCCCGCGCCATTTCTCTTATGCTGCTTATGAGTATAGGAGTGTTAGAGAAATCCTGAATACCACCATCTGAAAGTTGTACTAAATTCCGAGAGCGTTGAAGGAGAAGAAGTCAACAAATGCCCATGTGTTGCTTGGCTATTCGCCTTGTCTAGCTGTGTAGCGACACCCCCGCCGCCGCCATGCAGCATCTGTATGTTACAAACCTGACGCGTCGCTGGACTCACGAGTCGCTGCTGAAGCTATTCGATACCTTCGGTAAAGTGTTAGATCTCACATGGACAGCGGAAACTGGGTGTGCTTTTGTGGAGTATTCCCAGGCACGGGAGGCGGAGTTAGCTGTGGAGCAATTACATGGTACGTAACGACTCCCGAGGACTGTGACATATTCCTCATGTCCATTGTACACTCAACACCACGTTGTTCTAACGCGGACCTCGTAATTCGTATCTGCAGAATCGTTTCAGTGAATTTCACGTACATGTATGTGGCAGTGCTATTCAAACTGTCCGTTTAGCATGCATGTAACGCGATGGTGTAATCCCCGCAGCATACTGTACAAATCCGTTGATTCCCGAGCTAGCTGTAGAGAGTGCTCAATATCAGAGATAGAGCATACTGTCTACTGAGAAGCTGAGCCTCTAGATCCGAAAAGGGGGCTTATGTCGTTTTGCGCGGTATTGAGAAAAATGCATTTGAAAGTTTAATTTTCCGTATTAAGCGATGTATAATTCAATTTTGAAACACCCATAACTCTGTGAAAGATAACGATTTAGGACCTAGGTTTTTCACAGAGTGCACTGCTGGGATACAGCAATGTCAGGGTATAGATAACTCAAAATGCTCAAAAATGACATAAGCCCCCTTTTTGGATCTAGAGGCTCATATGTCAATTTCTATAAGATGATTACATTCTTGGACTCGGATGGAGAGCCAAGGGTTCAATTTAAAAAGAAATGACCAAAATGTTACATGTTATCCATAGTTGGTGTCCAGCACTAACACTAACGGCAGTTATAAGTAAGATGTTGTGTAGTCAGAAGGTGCAACAGCTAACACAATACTCACTGATGTGATACAGACGTTCAACGACCTGATGATAAGCTCTATCATGTCTTGGATGCGCACACCAACAGCCTTCCCACTTGGAAGGTTCTAAGTTTTGAAATATTAAACATGAGAAAGGGGAGGGACTTACACCTGTTAGTGTTGGACACAAACCACGGACGACATGTAACATTTTGGTCCTTTCTTTTGAAATAATTACATTCGTCTATGAAAGGTGCCCATACACCGTACAGGCAACTACAGTTGTATGGTCGTGTAGTTTCATAGCAAGTGCATACTGATCGGAAATCCGCATCCTTCGTCCTCTTTCCATCGTTGCCCTACATGTAGAATCATGTACATGTACATGTAGAAATAAATTGAACGATATTACATGTAGATCTGCACATGAATACAGTGTACTCATCAGCGTAATCTGGTTCTAACTCACTAACAGGGGGGGGGGGGGGGTATAAGAAGTTCCCTTGTTTCCAAATCAGTATTACTTGTGTGTGTCGCAAGTAGACAACCACATTCAGAGGATTATACCATCTACGACCAGATTTCAAACCACAAGTTATAGTACTTAGAGGGCCAGGGAATTTCTTATGCTCCCCCCCCCCCCCCCAGAATACAGAGGGTCTGAACAGGGGCCCAGGGCCCTTCCCAAATGGTCCATATCTGTCTTGTTGTCCTGTGTTACTTCTCTTGTTGTCCTGTGTTACTTCTCTTGTTGTCCGGTGTTACTTCTCTCGTTGTCCGGTGTTACTTCTCTTGGTGTCCGGTGTTACTTCTCTTGTTGTCCGGTGTTACTTCTATTGGCCTCGTTCACTGATTGGTAGTACAAGGAGGGCTGTGCTTGCTAGAGGAAAAGAAGAAAAACACATATACATGTATCCAGTTTGTGCAATTGGTATTCCAGGCTCCTCCCCGCTCTCCTCCCCGCTCTCCTCCCCGCTCTCCTCCCCGCTCTCCTCCCCGCTCTCCTCTCTGTTCAGGTCAGAATTCTCGATTTACAAGTTCAGTTGTCTCATGATCGTGTATAGAAGTGGAATTCAGTCACAGCAGGATGTATACTCCGCCGAGGGCGCCAAACCGATCAGAGTGGCACACTCTTGTTTATATAGTTTTGCTATTCCACGTTCATGTATGTACATGTAAGTGATTATTTGATAACCGCAATCAGTAATACAAGCTGGATCGACATTTGTGTACACTGTATTCATGTACATGTATTGTAAAACTGTGGAGACAATGTGCAAAAAAACGATGAAAATTCAGTGTACACAAATGTCGATCCAGCTTGTATTACTGATTGCGGTTATCAAATTGTTGTCTCCTCGCCGTTTGTTTAAGTGATTATTGTCGAATATTTGTTTGAAATCCAGGACGCGAGTTTTATGACCACAACATATCCGTGATACAGGCAGAAAAACCGCTGAGCAGGCAAGTCCACATTTCATTATCTCTTTTTTGCCTGTGTATGTCTGTCTTTCTGTCTGTCTGTCCATCTATCTGTCTTTCTCTGTCTCTCCCTCTGTCTCTATCTCTGTCTCTCTCATTGTCATTCTCTCTCTCAGTCTTTCGCAGTCTCTCTCTCTTTCTCTCTCTCTCTCTCTCTCTCTCTCTATCTATCTATCTATCTATCTATCTATCTATCTATCTATCTATCTATCTATCTCTCTCTCTCTCTCTCTCTCTCTCTCTCTCTCTCTCTCTCTCTCTCTCTCTTTCTTTCTCTCTCTTTCTCTCCGTCATTCCCCTTGCCCCTCCCTCCCACCCCCCATGGTGCCCGCCGATCCCGAGACCCTTGGTCGGACGAGTCCACCACATCTCACCAGCGCAGCTCACCAGCGCACCTCACCAGCGCAGCTCACCAGCGCACCTCACCAGCGCACCTCACCAGCGCAGCTCATGTAGCGCCCACACACCCATTGTTGTTTCGGTTGGTATGTGCACTGTGATTAAAAAGTGAAAGAATAAAGTGCTTCCTGAGAACCGGTGGTGCATTCACAAATCGCGAAAGTTCAAACCATTATGATAACAAGTTAGAACCAAAGTAAACGACAATCAAAATTCGGCGTAGAATTTTAAAACACTCAATTGAAGTGTAGTACGAGTGGGCACAAAAGCTTGAAAAAGAAACCGTTGCCCAAATAATGGCCTACCAAGTTCTGTCATGCAAAGGCGAAGGTACGCCTCAGCCAGGCAATAGGCTGATAAGGGGTTCCCGACCCTGCAGTGGGTGTAACTTTGTAGAGGCCCTGCAGCTCAGCTTTGGATACTCTACAGCAGCCCATCGCAGCACTTGCCATTTACCATACAGTCATTACAAAACAAGGCCGATAACTTATAATGTACATGTATGCTCAGGCGATGAGGCTATGATAGTATGGCCTTGCCCTGTACGGCCAATACTAAAATACAGTAGTGATATGAGTATCAGGGAACCCTACACACACTGGTGGCTAGTCTCCAGTATGTGTGGTCTATGATCCACTCAAAACTGGGCCTACGTCAAGTACTTGTTAGATAGTGACTGTGTACGCCAACCATTCACATAATGGACGCCGTTAATCAGCGCCAAGATCGTCCAGTCGCTTCCTGTTGCTCCTTTACTTCGCAATACTTCGCATGGATACCTATCATGGGAGACTCACCAAACCAATAAAATAATGAAAATGGTTATGTATGGAGTGCAAAAACTCAAAATCTGAGATTTTTTAAGTCAAAGGAGAGGAAGAACATCAATACATGTAGATTGAGAACCAGGGGTGCTAATACAACACTGGAAAGGCACTAAAACAAAATATCTGCAGTAGCGGATTTAGACTACAGGTACTTTGAAGTATATTGTTCAACACGTGAAACTAGGTATGCCAGAACCTGAGAAGCAGTAAACTTCATAAAGCTTCCTTACCTGGCAATTAAATAGTGTGGGACTATCGAGTGAACGTATATCAGCAGGAAGTTTATTCCAAGCAACAGCGATAAGGAAAAGGAAGGATTTAGCGAAATAATTGCCAGTTGGTGGAAGGACAAGAGTCTTGGGGTGTCGGGAGGATGATGAAAATCGAAATTTGAAATCAAAGAGAACAGAAGGAAAGGTGTAGACAATGTGGTGAAAATTGCATAATGAAAGGATCTGTAAAGACTGTAATCGCCTTTTTATAGCTTCCCAGCCTGCACGCTGGTTAAGATTTTCTTTTGGAGTCATCCAATCTGGCTTCCTCTTTAATTTGGCGGCAAGATCTTCTCTGGCTCCAGATGCTTGGAGCATACTCATACTATCCTGGTCTTGGACCGTCAGAGAGTAAAACCAGACGGGTATAGAGTACTCTAGGGTAGGGCGAACGTATGACTTATACAAGGTAGACATGGCTGATGGAGGAAAGAAAAGAGCCATACGACTAAGCAAGACCACTCTGCTACGAAATTTAGAGACAATGGAACGAATGTGCGCACGGAAATCCAGGGAGAGGAGGAGGTTAATATGACTCCAAGATGGCGATGAGCCTCAGTTCGACACAAGCTAGCTTCATTCATCTGAACAGTTCGCTCTGCTGCCGTGGTCCTGCCTGACTGGATTTATAATATGGGCGCACTAACTAACGTCGACGCTGGCATGCAAAGTGTTTTAAAACCTGATCCAGAATGTTCAGCCCAAGAGATACACGCTGCTAGATCAGTCTCAATCTGAGACAAGTGAGCCGAATTTGTGGTAGACGGTGGGGAAATACAAAGAATGTTGGAGTCATCCGCAAAAATGCTCAAGGTGTTGGTAGTCACTGTTTGGATACTGTCGATCTTTTTTTAATTTTTTTCCACCTCTCGCATGCATCGCGCATACGATTTTCGGGTGACGAGAAAAAAACGTGTTGCCTAACAAGGCATGAAAATCGTTCTCATCTCTTCACAGTGAGTTACTGTGTGTACTGTCCCGATCCCGTGCATGCAGGCTGTAGTCACGTGTAGTGTACTGACGTAGTAGGTCTACGTAACTATGAATACCATCATTTCCATGCCAAATATTTTTTTTCCTTTTTTTCTGATTCTTGTTTTGTTTGTTTTGTGTCGTGGAATGTTTTTGATTTTTTGTTTGTTCCAACAAAGAATTGCAGTATTGTTACTATTGTAGTACTAGGATCCCAAGAGTCCATGGCATATGGCCACACTCTTGATAACACAGTAGTCTGTATACTGTAGTCTGTAGTACTAAGTCTTGTTCCTACTGCCAGGCAATGCCTGTGCATGTGGACATGCACGTAGCGCGGTGTTGCTCCCTCAGCTCGTCGCACAGCTTGTTTCCAACAGTGGAGCACAGTCACGGATGGCAAGATACAATTTAGCGCACTGGGTATAGCCATGTAGGGCTGCAGACTCGGAGTGGTAGCTCACAGCTGTATTCAAGATTCGAATTTGAAGAATTATACAGGCCTGTACAGTGTAGTCCAACGCAAGTCTCAGATTTGGAAGACTATGGGCCGTTCATCACTTAGAACGCTGCGCAGATGGGCGATAATCTCAATAGTATTAGTACGCTCTGTAGGCTTCAGCCATCAGCCCCCAGTAAGCCATACTGCACCAGATCCAACGTCTTTTCTTGGTCAAGGCCACGCTTGTCTTCAGAGTTTAGTCAGAATCATCCTGGTATTCAGCTGCTTCACTAATACCAGTGCTCAGAAATAGTGCTGCCCCCCCCCCCCTTCTCCAAAGGTAGGCAGGTGCAGTGAACGATTACAAAATAATTATGTTGCAGTTTCATGCTTTATGGACTCTATGAAGCCGCAGATTGTGTTGTCGGAGTTCACACTTTTTTTAGTACAGATTTATGGTATTGTAAGCCCAGTTTTCACTTGGATGGTGTGCTGAGAGGGAGTGCGTGCAACTACAGTCAGTGTTGATGGTCAGACTACTAGTAGAGACAGTACTCAGTACAAGCCTACCGACAACTCAAGAGTATGACAATTATCAGCTCTGAGGAAGCTGTGTGTACACAAACTGGTCTTCATCGACAGCAGCTGCAGCAGCAGTACTGGATTAAGAGCGTTAACAACAGGAGGAACAGAAGCAGCAGCAGCAGTAGCTTTAGTTGCTGTTGTTGCAGCTGTAGTGCAGAGATCAGCATAAAGAGAACGTTGTGTGTGCCGTTTCCCTGTGCAATCGTTTCTAGTTGTAGTTGCAGTTATAGCGGTGGCGGCAGCGGCGGCGCTGGTGACCTGGAATCATTACAGATTAGTAGGAGTACTAGTAGTAGTGGTAGTAGTAGTAGTAGAAGTAGTGCTTTGGATTGGCCACAAACACTGTGTGACTCAGATTGTTTACCATATCTTCCTGCATTGCATTGTAGGACAAGTGTGAGCAGTCAACAGCAACACAGTCAAGCATTGCATCAGCCGGACCTTGCCTTGCTGTCAGACGGTTTCGCTATCGCCGATTCCATTCCATTTGTTCAATCCAGCCGTTCCCAGCACTCCATAGCAGCAGCGCTGCACGAGACTGGAAATCGCCCTGCTGCCACTGGCAGCACTACATCTATTAGTGCAGCAGGCTATGGCAAGGATGTGGCGGATTCCAGCAACAGCAACAAGGTGGCTAGTAGTACCACAGGTTCCAGTGATGCTACAAAGAAGAAAGAACCAAGTCTTCAGCAGCAGCAGCAGCAGCAGCTACAGCCAGCACCTAATACTAATGGAACTGGAAAGAATGCGCGTCTCTCAGCTCAAGGCACAACGTCTCCAGCTGTTAGTGGCATCATGGGGGGAGAAGGAGGAGTAGGAGGAAGCAGCAGCAGCAACGCAGGTGCAGCAAGTACCGCCAATGTTATATCCGCTACTGGCAGCAGCAAAAGCACGGCTATTCCTTCTCTTGCTTCGGATGTTGTCTTGTCTTCCAACACTATAGGCAATGTTAGCAGCGTGGCAGCAGTAACAGATATAACTCAGACGCCCTTGCAGCAGAAACAAGAAGAGAATCCAGCAGAGCGTGGTCGTGATGCCAGTCATGCTACTACTGGTCATGCTGATACCAAGGAGAGCTCCCGACATGACAAGAGCAAGATGAAACACACAAGCAGTAAAGCTGCTCACGGCGGAAGTGGCGGGGATGCTTGGATCCAAGGTCCTCATTATCAACCGAGTCAGGTAAGACCGTACCGTTGCTGCCAGTGTTACCCTGTTTTGTTGTTGCTGCTGCTGCTGTTGTTGCTGCTGTTGCTGTTGCTGCTGCTGCTGCTGCTGCTGCTGTGGTTGCTGCTGCTGCTGTTGTTGCTGCTGCTGTTGCTGCTGCTGTTCCTGCTACTGTTCCTGCTGCTGCCGCCTGTTCTACTCTGCTGTTGTTGCTGTCTCTCTTTTATTTGCTGCTCTTGTTGTGAGGGTGTTGTCCTGCTGATGCTTCTGTTTTGGTGATGGTAGTACGAGGTGATTTGGCAATCTTTTAACTAGTGTGTAAAATTGGCTTTTGTTCGGTCTATTATCTGCCCTGGATGGTTAGATCGAAACATTTCGTATTGCTTCTGCTGCTGCTGCTGTAGCCACCACTGCCGCTGCCCCAACAGTCGCTGCTGATGTTTTCTGCTGCCATCGCGCCGTCGCTACTGCTATCACGGCTTCTATTGTGGTGGTGGAGGTGGTACTGCTGCCGCAGTCAACGCTGCTGCTATCCCGTCGTTGCTCCTCCTGTTGTACAGCTGCTGTTGCTGCTGCTGCTGCTGTTATGAAGACTCTGTTGTTGGGTGTGTGTGTAGTGGAGCTGCCTGTGCAGCCACGGATCCTTCTGCTACCACCACCACCACCACCACCACGGCTGCTGCTGCTACTTGAGTTCTTCCTGCTTCTGCAGTGGTGGTGATGATGCTGATGCTGCTCATGCTCTTGTGCCACTGCTGTTGCATTCGGTGCTGTGGATGGTGCTGTGAATGGTGTTGTGAATGCTGCTATGGATGGTGCTGTGGATGGTGCTGTGAATGGTGCTGTGGATGGTGCTGTGAATGGTGTTGTGGATGGTGCTGTGGATGGTGTTGTGGATGGTGTTGTGGATGGTGCTGTGGATGGTGCTGTGGATGGTGCTGTGGATGGTGCTGTGGATGGTGCTGTGAATGGTGTTGTGGATGGTGCTGTGGATGGTGTTGTGGATGGTGTTGTGGATGGTGCTGTGGATGGTGCTGTGGATGGTGCTGTGAATGGTGTTGTGGATGGTGCTGTGGATGGTGCTGTGGATGGTGCTGTGAATGGTGCTGTGAATGGTGTTATGGATGGTGTTGTGTATGGTGCTGTGAATGGTGTTGTGGATGGTGCTGTGGATGGTGCTGTGGATGGTGCTGTGAATGGTGTTGTGGATGGTGCTGTGGATGGTGCTGTGGATGGTGTTATGGATGGTGTTGTGGATGGTGCTGTGAATGGTGCTGTGAATGGTGCTGTGAATGGTGATGTGGATGGTGTTATGGATGGTGTTGTGGATGGTGCTGTGGATGGTGTTGTGAATGGTGCTGTGGATGGTGCTGTGGATGGTGTTATGGATGGTGTTGTGGATGGTGCTGTGGATGGTGCTGTGGATGGTGTTGTGGATGGTGCTGTGGATGGTGTTGTGGATGGTGTTGTGGATGGTGCTGTGAATGGTGTTGTGGATGGTGCTGTGAATGGTGTTGTGGATGGTGTTGTGAATGGTGTTGTGGATGGTGCTGTGAATGGTGTTGTGGATGGTATTGTGAATGGTGCTGTGGATAGTGCCTTTCATTATATTTTCTGCCGTGGAAGAATATCCTAGGACTGGGGTATAATGAGGAACCCGGTGGACTAATTGCTGAACCTACTGGGTGGACTAATTGCTGAACCTACTGGGTGGACTAATTGCTTAACCTACTGGGTGGACTAATTGCTGAACGTACAGGGTGTACTAATTTCTGAACCTATAGGATGGACTAATTGCTGGCTAATTTACTGCTGTAACTTCCTGTAGTGAGACGGTGCTGTTGCTGGAGGTGATGTCCTTATTTCTACTGCTGCGCCCCCCCCCCCCCCCCCTGTGCCACTGTTGCTACTGCTGTTGCTGTTATTGCTACTGCTGCTGTTAATCCTGCTGTTGATGCTGTTGGTGCTGTTGCTGCTGTGGATTCTGTTGCTGCTGTTGCTGCTATTGTTGCTGCTGTTGCTGCTGTTGTTGTTGCTGCTGCTGCTGTTGCTGCTGTTGCTGTTGTTGTTGTTGTTGTTGTTGTTGCTGTTGTTGTTGTTGTTGTTGTTGTTGTTGTTGTTGTTGTTGTTGTTGTTGTTGTTGTTGTTGTTGTTGTTGTTGTTGTTGTTGCTACAGTTGCTGTTGTAGGTGCTGTAGTTGCTGTTGCCGCTGCTGTTGCTGCTGTTGCTGTTGCTGCTTCTACTTTTGCTGCTGGTGCTGCTGTTGCTGCTGTTGCTGTTGCTGTTGCTATTGCTGTTCTTGCTGCTGCTGCTGCTGTTCCTGCTGTTGCTGTTGTTGCTGTTCCTGCTGTTGCTGTTGCTGCTTCTGATGGTGCTGTTGTTGCTGCTGTTGCTGCTGTTGCTGTTGCTGCTGTTGCTGTTGCTCCTGTTGTTGTTGCTGCTGTTGGTGTTGTTGCTGTTTCTCTCGTTGACAGCAGCCATAGTACTGTTGTGGGTGTTGTTATTTCTGCTCAATGTATGGACTAACTGGACTAACTGGACTAACTGGACTAACTGGCCATCATACATGTAAATGCACATGTATAGCTATATAGTGTGTATGATTGCAGAAGGGTGCACTGAGTGTGGTGAGAGTGCTCGAATAGGAAGGCAGCAGAGCGGAACAAGGCCATTTTGTTTCACATCTGAGTATCATGCTCAGTACAATACCCGAATCAATTCTACCACCATAGCCTCCTGATCATTCCACCAGCAAGTCGAACACCCTGCGTAAACATTAAAATGGGATCCCTAGTCCTCAAACTACCCCAGCCCCACTGGTTGCACACAGATTCTCTACGCTGCTCAATTCTAGCGCTACACCGCACACTATCAACCTAACACTCAAAACCGTGTAGCACCAGCACACCTAACTGTGAGCACCAGCACACCTAACTGTGAGCACCAGCAAACCTAACCGTATAGTACCAGCACACCTAACTGTGAGCACCAGCACACCTAAGTGTGAGCACCACTACCTGTGTCTCAGTATCCACCTTCCACACCTATTTCTTGCACTTGTACATGTGATGTAAGTATGCGTTCTGCCAGGATCAACACTATCTCCATGTTGCATGATGATTGCAATCAGCATGAACACACACACAGTTGCCAGGATCAACACTATCTCCATGTTGCATGATGATTGCAATCAGCATGGACACACACAGAGTTGCCAGGATCAACACTATCTCCATGTTGCATGATGATTGCAATCAGCATGAACACACACAGAGTTGCAACGAACAAGCCTTCTTCCACTGACCTACTGCCAATGTGAATATTTTGTTTAAACATACATTTAGCAAATGAGAAAACAGGAGATGGTATGCCTATTCTCATATTCATCATCTCTTTGTCTCTTGCTGCTGCCACTGTTCACGCTGCCGCTGTTGCCGCCATCGCTGCCATATTGTCTTTTGTTGTGAATATGGATAGGTGGCGCATCACCCTGGAGATCCATCTCAGGCCTCCGGCATGGGTAGACACACAGCACGCGGCGGCAGCAGCAGTCATCCTCCTTTCCCAGGAGTGGATCCAAATCAAATGCAATGGGTGCACTCTCAGTTTGGCCAGCAGCAGCAGCAGCAACAGGTTCCTGGTGCTGCATTGAGAGGTCAGTCAAATTACACTATAGATGGTAGTCTCTGTATCAGTGTGTAACCGGCTTTGGGTTTGATCACAAACAAGATGTATGCTTTGTTTCCACATCCATCTCAATCGATCTCTTTCATTGCAACATTCAAAACAAGAGTGAGTGGTTGCCTGTCCCACTTTTGTATTTTTTTTTTAATCAGGTTTTAGCATATTAGCACATGCCATTTGGTGTTAGCTCATTGTGACTTCATGCTTACCGCGGCCCGAGCAAGCCACATCTGTGCAATCTGAAGACTGCTTGTTCTGGTGTGACCCCGCCTAATGGTGATGTAGACTGCTTTAGGCTGCTTCAGACTGCATTAGGCCACTTGAGCTGCTTAAGGCTGTTTGCCTCAACCTAGTCTACTGTACTGCCTTTACGTTAAATTGCAGTTTGCTGTTTGGGAGCACGGAGACAACATATGAAGCAGGAGAGTGTACATGCTTGTGCCTCACTGCTTGGATTAGTCATTGCCAACATTTCTCAGAGTTATTCTTCAATAGATGTGTACATGTACATTAGTATAATGTGGGAAGTGGAAATAAATTATAACAACATCAAAGTGCATGGGAGGGTTTTTAACACAGAAATGCCAATATACATTTAGTGACACCTGGTAATGCCTATTGTATTTGTTCTGTGTTAAGGTTCTGCTGGCATGGATTCACTTGCTGCACACGGGCCCTTTGAAAACATGCAGAAGCAAATGGAAAGGTAATTGGTGTATATTTATTTGCATTGTCAGCACATGCATCCTCCATCATACAAAGAGAGAGAGAGAGTGATTTGTTGAGTTCATTACCTGACCACAGCAAGGACAATGGGCACCAGCCATGCTGTTGTAATGGCTGCTGGGTTTTTACTTTCCTCCCTGAGTTTCAGCTTCTGCTCGTTCTAACTTTTCACCACAATTAGTGTTGGATCAAACTTGCGCTGAAATACTGGAATTGGCTCTTCAATTTTGTATTTTGTGTATGGATGTATGTAAAAAAATATAAGAAATCAATGTTGCCTGAAGAGTGCTTTTGCACGAAACTCAGAGTAGCAACACTGAGAAACTAAGAAATCGATGTATGCATGTATGTGTGTGTATTGATGTATGTATGTATGTATGTATGTATGTACACACACAACAGAGGCGAAAGGCTGTGTTAGCTGTAACTTAAAGTTTCACGCATCGGAGCGATCATCAGACAGCAGCATTCACTATCGAATTCTCTACGAGCAGGCCTAGATTTTTGATGCTAGTGTGGAAGTTAGTGCATATGTGCGAAGTGAAGACGTGGCATTGGGACAATGATATTGAGTTGTTTTGTGAGAGTTAACGGATATAGGTGAGAATAGAGGCGATAACAGGGCAGTGTTACCGAGTCATTGAAGGCGATAGCGACGGTAGCGCAAGACCACAGCAAGAGTGAAGAGGGAGAGAGAAAGCACATGGCGCCAAACCTGGTGCAGGTTGCGCCATGTTGCAAAACTCACGTAACTGATGGTGAGAATCTGGACAGGTAATACTTGTTCTCTTGTCTGCATTTCGACACCAACTCCGTCCTTTTGTTGATGTTGACCGTTTTGTCTGCTTTCGCCTCTGTTGTGTGTGTATACTGCTCTGTACATTCGTACATTGAGCACTCTACTTCGAGCTTCCTGGACCGGCCTTGTTTATGTATTTATGTATGTATGTATGTATGTATGTATGTATGTATGTATGTATGTATGTATGTATGTATGTATGTGTGTGTATTTCATTTAGGTATGTATGTATGTATGTATGTATGTATGTATGTATGTATGTGTGTGTATTTATGTATGTATGTATGTATGTACATAGCAGACTCAGCGGGGGACGTTCAGGTTGGTCGTAACTCTGAGTTTCATGCCTGTTGTTGGCTAAGCCACTCTGCTCACGCCTGCCCGTCACCCAAAGACGATCTCACTGGCCCATTGCCCGCCATCCTCCTGGCACCTCCACCCATCTGCTGTACACTGCCTCCCCATCGCCTCTTTCCGCACTTTCATGCTCACACCTGCCTGTTGCCCGCCACCCTCCTGGCACTTCTACTGTCGCGCCTTGGCCCGCGCCAGCTTTCTCCCCATACCTTGCACCAGATTTAGCGCTAAATTTGTTTATGCTTGAGGCCCTATGTCCTTATCACTTTTGTCTTATAATTGCCTAACGGCATGAATATTGTGTGAATTTCTGCTTATTTCTCGTGTTTGTTTGTGGAAATTTGTACTTGGTTGTTCCAATCCTAAATAGTGCACTGCCAGTGGCTGGATCAGGCAACGCTCCTAACTCTCTTGCTACTAGTGGCATGGATAGACCGCAACATGTAAGTAGCATGCACTGAATATGTGTAGGACTCGATGATTCGTCAAGTTTCCACAGAAATACCACTCACAGGCCACACATATGTACTTGCTTGTATCGCGATGACCAAGCAAAGCCATCGCGATTTTCTCTGTGAACGTTTCCAGGCTCCACATTATTATGACTCTACTCGCCTGCATGCCATGGGTTGAGGGCATTCACATACATACACGATCAAAGGCATGTGTACGTTTTGAACAAGACTGATTTCGATCAACTGTTGGCATGGTGTACTTGTAGCTCGGGTCTTGGGTGTGTGCTCCTCTCCCATATAAAAGGTGTTCAGATAGAAACTCTTGTTCTGAGAGGAAGTTTTGGCTGGTAGACTGTGCATTTCATCATCGTCATCTTTTAGACATCAAAACTTGGTACACCCTTAGTGCGGTGATATTTGTTCGCTATAGACTGTCGAAGTGCTGACGTCACGCTCCCTGAAAACTTGTAGTTACCTGGCCAAGCGGTGACAAACAAAAGTTGTGTCACCTGGGAAATCACTAGGGACCAGCATGCTCGTCCTTGGGAAATCACCTAGGGATCAGCAAGCTCGTCCTTGGGAAATCACTAGGGATTAGCAAGCTCGTTCTTGGGAAATCACCTTGAGATCAGCGAGCTCGTCCTTGGACTCCAAACAGGAATCCAAATACTAGTATGACTGATAACAATCAGGGTGGTGTCAGACATATTCGAATTCTTGTGTGCCTGATCTGTGTCGTGCTAGTCATGCCAATGTGATGCACTGAAAAAGGGTTTAGAGGCTAGTTACACCTGTACAAGCCTAGCCTATGTGTCACAAAAGAAAGTGTGATCACACTGAAACTCTTCACGTAGTGCCGTGTAGGTTTGATGTTGTCATTGTTGTCCCCCTGTTCACGTAGTGCCGTGTGGGTTTGATGTCATTGTTGTCCCCCTGTTCACGGTTGCCGGGATAATTTTACACGATTCTTTGTCCTTCTACATTTTGATCCCCAGTTGTGTGATGTGCACACACCATTGTCATGCTTCTCACTTCATTGCTCCAGTTAGTGCTACTTTAGTTTATTCTCACTGCTTTCTGTTCCATATTTAGTAGTGTTTGATTAATATTCCACCCATTGTTGCGTACGTTCACTAAAGATCATTGAGAGAAAACGGTTCTCTAATTTTTTTCCCTATTCCGACTATACTGTGATGCCATCAGCCGCTGTAGGAGCTGCCCCTTGATCCTTGAGGGTGTTGGAGTTCCTACGGACGGGAATTGCCGGAAACTCAGTCGTAACTGAGTCTAATTGAGTATAACGTGAACCGTTAAGGTTTTTTTTTACTGTGGTGACTTTGAGTATAGCGCGAACCGTTATTAATTTTTCTGTGAAGACTTTGAGTATAGCCCGAACCATAATGTATTTTATTGTGATGTCATGTTTTCTGTGCAGATGACTTTGGAGTATAACCAACCGGGATCATCAGCTTACAGTCTGTACGACTACACAGGAAGTACGACTGCTGCTGCTGCTCCTGCTCCAGGTGCCTATCAGACTGCAGGTGGAAGTTCTAGTGCTGCTGCTGGTGGTGGTGGTACTGCTGGTCCTGGTGGTGATCATGCAATGCAATTTGATCAGCATGGTCATCCGCACTCACAACAATCATTTCATCATTTCAACGCCAGCTCCCCTAATCATCAGCATCATCAGCCTCATCAGCAACAACAGCAGCGTCCGCCATCTTTTGCACACTCCCAGCAGCAACAGCAGCCAATGCGTAATGACTACCATGGTGTTATGCAGACAGGATTTGAAGGGTAATGTCTTCATGCAAACACTATACATGTATACATGTATACATGTATACATGTATACATGTATACATGTACATCTGGCAAAAGTGTGCATACTGTAAATATGGGATCGGTCATTGTAATCTTAAATATCGCTTTATAGTAAGAGAATGCTCGAAATCAAAGACCAACGCTTTAGGCGACACGAGCTATATCACTCACATTCCGTAGCACTGCAAGAAACTGCCATCAGTACTGCTAAGGGGTCGTCGAAAAAGTTTTCTGTCCTGCCTGAAACGAAAATCGTTCATTTCGTACTCGGACCCCCTCCCCTCCCTCCCGTCCCTCTGAAACGAACACAGCTTGCTATGGTGGATGACGAAAATCACATGCATGTACATGTCGTGTGTACAGTGTCGGTCGACTTGCGACTTTGGCTCGCACCCCCCCCCCCCCGAATCATGTTCGTTTCAGGGACGACAAAAAACTTTTGCGACGACCCCTGAGAGTGCGCAAGTAAGAGTGTGCAACTGTCATCTCCGTCCTATGTGCCTGATGCCTCGGCACGCCCCCTTCATTACATCATGCCACTTAACTACAGTCCGTAAACTGCGGAAATCAAGCACCACACTTTCCTTCCGGTTTGAAATGGACTTCCGTACATACTGAAGTTCAGATGCCCAAAATTTAGTTTGCGTTTGTACTCAAACGAATCGAGCAAAACAGGTGTGCTGGTACGGGAGATTGTGGGTTTGAGTGCATGCGTCCAGAGTGCGGTGGAGGCAAGTCATGTAATGAGATCATTTCCGAGTTGTGCACACACCATACCGGCATACTCTTGCTTATGGACCCTTGATACATGTACTCCGAGATACAACAGGAAACTATCAGAACTCTATATTATACCAAGAGCCTATCAGAAGTCATTTAAAATAGACCTTGTGTGTATATGTGTGTGTTTATGTGTATGTGTGTGTCTGTATGTGTCTGCTTGTATGTGTCTGTGTGTGTGTGTCTGTGTGCTTGCCTGCATATGTCCAACGTAGGTATGGCCAACCACCCAACTATCCCGTAGTGGGTGGCCATGGATTCATTGGAAATGGTGCCTATGGCAACGGTCGCATGAATGGAGGAAATTTGGTTAGTAGCAGTCTTGGCCGTAGTGGTTCCGTGTCAAGCAATGGACCATTAGATGGATCTGGTCCTGGATCTGCTTCCGGTCAGCTTCTCTCTTCAGCACCAGGCCAGCAGCAGAGTGCTGCAGCAGCTGCCGCCGCCGCTGCTGCAGGAGCAACGGGCAGTCAGAGTGCCGGCCATTCTCACTGTGACTTCCCACTCAGGTGAGAGATTCTGCATTGCCAGTTGATGATAATGATGGTGATGATGACTAACCATTTAAATAACTGAAGCAGATATCAATATCCTTGTTGCATGCTTGATGTCTTGTGTATCCTATTTTCGTCAATGGGGACTGCTCTCTACGCTATTGTATTGCAGTCAATGAGGACCGCTCTTGGGGGTATTGTATTTCCATCCATGATAACCGCTGCTCAGGCTTTCAGTAATGAAGTTCTGGCCACAGTTACTATGAAGTGGTGTTATTGAATCCCGATTTCTGGGCATATGTGCAGCTAATTCACGGCTACATGTACTGGGTTATACTGAGCTGTCTACTAAGATCCTCAGACTGGTATCATGCTGTCTACTAAGATCCTCAGACTGGTATCATGCTGTCTACTAAGATCCTCAGACTGGTATCATGCTGTCTACTAAGATCCTCAGACTGGTATCATGCTGTCTACTAAGATCCTCAGACTGGTATCATGCTGTCTACTAAGATCCTCAGACTGCTATCATGCTGTCTACTAAGATCCTCAGACTGCTATCATGCTGTCTGATGGGTGTTTCACACGAAACTCTGAGTAACGGCGGAAAAGTATTTGCTTGCGTCATTGCTGTGTGATCATTGTAGTGGATATTACTGATTACTACTAACCTATGAGTGTGAGTGTGAGTGTATAACCTACTACAAGTATGAGTGTAACTTATAACCTATGAGTGTATAGTCTTTGACTGTCCTTTTGGAGCATGAAGTAATCACCAGCAATCACCGTACTCTCTTCGTTGATGTGTATACCTCATGAGTGCGTGAGAGAGAGAGAGAGAGTGTGTGTGTGTGTGTGTATGTGTGTGTGTGTGTGTGTGTGTGTGTGTGTGTGTGTGTGTGTGTACGTATGTGTGCATGTGTGTCCCATATGGTGCAGTGGAATGTGCAGCGATTTCCAATCGATAGGTTGCGGGTTCGATTCCCGACGATTATGGTCACACACGTCTTTCTTCTCTTTCTCATTCTCCTAGCTCTTCTTTCATTCTCCTGGGTGGTTACCAACAGCCAGTGTAGGCCGGAGTATGTGGTGTGGCATGTGTGTGTAAAAAAATGAAAAATAGGGATTAAGTAAAAAAGTAAATTATCGTGTCCGTTCCCCAAGGGAACTCACGACGGCCGCTAACACCCGATAAACCCTAGCGGCAGATGCAGCGCCTAACGGTGGGATTCACTGGCCAGAAAAAGCCACTTCAATCAGCTGTGTGGTGGATACCAGGCTAGAATATAGTGGCGGTCAATTCATCAGCCTTGCAAGCTGTTGAATGGTGTAATCCCAGCACAAGTTGCTATGTCTAACATTGCTGTTCGCTATCATCGCTTACACGATGGGCATGTCTGAGATCTGAGGTGTGTGCATGCACGTGCACGCATGGTGATTAGTATTGCCGGCATTGCCATTGAATGTACAAATCTGTTATGACTATCTCTTTATTTGCAAACCTACGATTTCATGCAGAATCCTTGTGCCAAGTGAAATGATTGGCGCTATCATTGGTAAAGAGGGCCATACAATTCGAGCTATCACAGAGCACACCGGTGCTAGGTATGTAGTACCCACTATTCATATCTACAGTAGTTAAGAACCCACTATAGCCTTCTCCTCATCATCCTCTCTCTCTCTCTTTCTCTCTTTCTCTCCCCCCCCCCTCTCTCTCTCTCTCTCTCTCTCTCTTTCCCACTCTCTCTCTCTCTCTCTCTCTCTCTTTCCCACTCTCTCTCTCTCTCTCTCTCTCTCTCTCTCTCTCTCATGGCAGTGTAGAACAGTGTTGACTGCACCCTCATAGCAAGCACCGAATCATATCTCTCAACATGTTTGATGGGTTCGAATACAGGAGATATTGCCATGCTCTTTGTGTTCTTTGTGCTCTTGGTGTTCATGTACCTATTGCTAGGGTGGATGTGCACCGCAAAGAGAATCCCGGTGCGGCAGAAAAGGTATGCCTCTATAGAAACTCAATGACCTATTTTTGTGTCACCCAGATTTCATCATGTTACTGTTAGGACTGGACTGGTATGATACAGACGTCTGAAGAAACAGTTGAACGGTCTGTGCTGGGATGACAATTACATGTACACTCAAGCTTAATGGTTGAGCATCGTTTGCCAGTGAAGGATGCCGGTGTTTACATCGAATTTCCTCGCTATGGTGTTGTGTATGTGGGCCAAGAGCGCAGTGTGGGATGGTGTTGTGTATGTGGGATGGCAAGAGCGCAGTGTGGGATGGCAAGAGCGCAGTGTGGGATGGTGTTGTGTATGTGGGATGGCAAGAGCGCAGTGTGGGATGGTGTTGTGTATGTGGGATGGCAAGGGCGCAGTGTGGGATGGTGGCATTATGCAGTGTGGGATGGTGGTATTATTTTTAAAATGGCTTCGAATTTCAAATTTTTTCTGCTCCTATTGCAGCAGTGCTGGGCATGGAGCTGTCTGACGGTGTGGATGTGTTTTGGTGTGTTCTGTGTTCCCTGTGCGATGATGTGGGTACTAGTGATGCATGTTGATGTGCATGTTATGAATTGCCTTGACTTGTGTTGTACCTACAGGCTATCACCATCATTGGCACACCAGATGCTTGCTCAGCTGCTAGCAAATCTATTGGCGAGATCATGCAGAAAGAAGCCATGACTAACTCCTCATTCCACACTGATAAGTGGTGAGCAGTCATCTTTATCATTCTTGGTGTGTCATTGCATTGGCTCAGTGTTTGAGCAGACGCCAATATCTATTTGTAGGGAATTTCATGATCTCTTCAGTGTGACATACTTGCATGTAGATATTGCACTTTTGGTAACCTCCCGCGCGTCCATGTTAGCGCGGTGCACTTCAGCGCGACCGCCTTAGCGCGAGGCATGTCAGCTCGGTGCCATTTCAGCGCCGTGTCTTGACAGCACCAATGATTTAAGCGCGAAATTTTAAAGCGTAGGACATGTCAGCGCCAATTTCTTCAGCGCAGATTTGACATGAGGCACTTCAGCGCCGTACATGTTAAGGGGGCAGCCTGGTCGTAAAATCCCTGAAAAATCGAATTTGTAAATTCATGTCGAGTGCTACATCAGTTGAAAGAGCGTGAATAGCTGCAAAATCTCTGAAAATGTTGTCTCGATCGGACCAGCTATTCAACAGTTATGGCCAAATCCCGCTAGCGAGAGTGCAGACGAGACCACCAATTCCGTGCGTACAATAATGCGTACGCTACTGTGTACTATAATACACGCGAAAAGTGCTTCGCGCTGACATAATTATATGCGCTGAAGTACCTGGCGCTGACGTTACCTCGCGCTGACAGTACATCGCGCTGAAGTGCCTTGCGCTGACATTACCTTGCGCTGAAGTGCCTCGCGCTGACACTACCTCGCGCTGAAATGCCTTGCGCTGAAGTGGTCGCGCTGAAATGCCTCGCGCGAAAGTGGACGCGCTGTGGCGGGATGGAATCGCACTTTTGTGTCGTACTCACTGATTTCAGGGGATATCGGCTGTTAGTCGACCGATAACCAATTAAGACATCTGTCCAAGATGTTTTTCTCCCCTCTTCTGGTCAAACCCACTTACCCAGTTCCTGGTACTGAGCATGTACAGTACACACGTGTATAAGTAACGTTGTGTATGCATGTAACCCTATCTGTGTGTGTGTGTGCGTGTGTGTGTGTATGTGTGTGTGTGTATGTGTGTGTGTGTGTGTGTGCGTGTGTGTGTGTGCGTATGCGGGTGGGTGCGGGTGCGGGTGCGTGCGTGTGTGTGTGTGTGTGTGTGTGTGTGTGTGTGTGCGTGTGTGTGTGCGTGTGTGTGTCCACGTATGTCTACAGTCAAGGTCCTCATGGTAACCTGCCATGTATTGCACTCAAGATCTTGGCACATAACAATCTTGTTGGCCGTGTCATCGGTGAGTGAGTGACTGAGTGTATATTCATAGGCTGCTGCTGCTGCGTTCAGCCGGTGATCAGAGTTCAGCCGGTGATCAGAGTTCAGCCGGTGATCAGAGTTCTGTATCCTCTACTGTATACTGTAGAAGCCATACATATAACGAAGTGCTAGTTCTAACGAGTTTACGAGGAGGAATCTGCCGTTAAAATAGAAATTGTTATACAGAAATCAATACATGAGCCAGCGCACGCGAAAATCGACCTTAGTGACACACACTTCAAACTGAGAAAACGCACTTCAAACATTCTCTTTTTTCGTGTGATGTGCGATATATCAGGGAGAATGCTCTATCTTCTAAGACCCGTAACTCAAGTTTTACTCAAGATTTTTTCAAACGTTTTTTTTGCATTGAATTCTGCATAAATCCATCTGCCTTTTTATCCAGTGTCATCTCAGTTTCTGAAAATATGTCACTAAGGGTGATTTTCGCGTGTGCTGGCTCACATATACTGTTCTATTGAGCATTCAGAATGCGTGAGAATCGTTATCTTTGGTACAGGCGTCCCTCTCTAATCCGGCCCTTGTTTATCCGGAACCCTTGCCAACCGGCGCACTTTCTGACGAAACCGATTTTTTTCGTTCAATTCCTACATCTTAATCCGGCACTTGAATTCCGCCTCCGGCAGTGACTTTTTGAAACGAATCGCTCAAACTGCACAGTTTGATTTCATAATTCGGCAGTCGTAAATCGCGTGCTGTACAAGTGCACTCCTTGCCAGGCCAGGCTAGGCCAGTCTGGTCAGTGCCACGCGCGCGCGCGCGCGCGGCCACTTCAGAGTTCAGTTCAGTTGACAACTGTACTCGACCTCGCGCGGGAGAGTTCAGTTCGGTTGGTTGTTAGGACTTTTCCGAACCCTACCTCAATTTATACAAAGAGAAAGACCAAGGAACTACAAGTTACGCTATACTGTCCACTAACACCACCAGTTTCTAAACAATCAGCTCATGCGATAACAATAATAAAGCCGTGCACCAAATACTTGGGTCGACACGGAAAAACTCTGCGTTTTGACGTATGATACATGCATGCAATTGGGTAGGGCCGGGTCAGAGGGCAGGATTTCTTAATCCAGCACCCTCGTTAATCCAGCAGAAAACGCCGTAGCAAAAGGTGCCGGATTAGAGAGGGACGACTGTACACGTAAAACTAGTCAATTTTGGGAAATCATTGTATATGCGCGTCATGAATAATGGCTTTTACAGTACTATTTCTTGATCTGTGTGCAGTGTATTGATCAGTATGCATTGATCAGTATGCAGGGCCTTGTTCTAGAGTGGTGCATGTGCCAAGTGAATTCATACCTCATCATTATGCTAGGCTAGGAGCTTACACTACATGTACCAAGTACAAACCCTGGCCTGCTGCTGCTGCTGCTGCTGCTGCTGCTGCTGCTGCGGCAGAGTACGGTATAGCAGGAAATACAAACAATAGGAGGACAGAGAAAGTGTTTTTACTCCGAGTTTCACGCACTAAGCGATCATCAGGAAACAGGAATGAGAAATCAAACACTTTCTCTGTCCTCCTATTGTTTGAACCAGCTCTACCACTCGGTATTGAGCACTCTCTTGGACAGCCTGGAACCTCTCTGTTTTATAGCAGGAAATATTCGGACGGGAATATTTTCGGACAAAGCCGAATTTCGACCTTTCATACGGATTTTATTTTCGTACAGTGCTGCATGCTAAATGCACGTGTTCGCATGCAGTACGCATGTATAGTGTACATAATTTCACATGAACAAATTTTAGTACGGAATTAATTTTAGTACAAAAGAAGCCGTGTACGAAATTGTACGAAAATAAATTCCGTCCGGAAATTTCCTGCCATACAGTATGTTACTGTGCCGATTTACTGATCCTTTCACCTGAATTGTTCCATCATGTCACAGCAGCCTTGCAGCAACTCATACTTATCTCCATTGATTGTTTTCTCTCTTATTCTCACTGTGACTCAGGCAAGAATGGCAACACACTAAAGAAGATCATGTCTGAGTCTGACACGAAGATCACAATATCTAAGTATGCTGCTGACAGTAGATATGCATTGTACACTGTGTCTAGATATTCATGTTCACAACACCAGTAGGAATGCAGCATAGGCTACCCATACATTGTATACTCGTACACACAGGACCGCAGTATAGCCGGTAAAACCAGTGTTCAGGGATCTCTGGTATTAGCGATCACCTGATCGTAACAACCGATATGTTTGCATTAGTACTATAAAAGTACAGTTAGCTCGGGATTCGCGGCCGCATCACCTGACGTGTTGGGGAACACATCAAGCAAATACATTCGCATCGGCGGGCCACCACTTCGCCCATAATATCCTTAGTGTCGAATGCAGACCTCACAAATGAGTCAGGGGAGAGGGGATAAGTCTCTGAACAAGCGGGCATGTAAAGGCCCTATACCCCCATAAACCCATAAACCCATAAACCGCATCCTTGTTACCCTCACAGTCACACCGAGCAAGTGAGTACCAAGTTCACCATGGGTGTCGGCACAGTTCATTGCATGTAAAGAGGCACTCGCCCGCATCAACGCGATTGAGAGAGCACTAAACACACTCCCTGTTACCAGCGCAGGTTTGAACTCGGAACCTCATGATTCGCAGGCAAGCGCCTACAAGCCAATCGGCTATACGCGTTGGTACTATGAATTAGTTCTATGAATATACGAAAATCCAAGAGTCTCCCCCCCCCCCCCCCCCCCAGAGTGTGCAACTCCCACATACTCTGCTGTCCCGACAGAATTTCAAGCTGACGTCATTTTGATGGTGCAATCGTAATAATGAATTAGGGGTACACCGGTGGATGGTAACATCATCCTGTGCTGTGTGTGATGTTAACTAAGCCCATTTTCTCCTTTCGTAATGGTACATCACGATCATACTGATGTGGATATTGATATCCTGTGGAATGACCGGGGCCGGCACCCTTACTGCCTTAGCGCCTACACACACTGTACAAATGGTCCAGCAGGGATCGCTGCTGCAAGCCCAGCACCCGGTGGCTGCTTGACTGCTCAACGGATTTCAATGTCAAGTACAATAGTAACAAAGCACGTGTGTGTGTGTGTGTGTGTGTGCTTGTGTGTGTGTGTGTGTGCTTGTGTGCTTGTGTGTGTGTGTGTGTGTGTGTGTGCGCGCACGCGTGCGTGTATGTGTGTATTCCTTTGCTGTATATTTAGATTGTCAGAGTTGACAGCAGCCAATATGGAGCGGACTATCACCGTAGTGGGTACAATCATTTGCAGTTCTAATGCCGAGTCACTCATCTCCATGAAACTGCGCGCAAGTTATGAATGCGATATGAATCATCTTATTCCGGTAAGTCACGTGTATGTATGTGTTTGTGCACGTGCGTGCATTCGTGTGTGTGTGTGTGTGTGTGTGTGTGTGTGTACGTGTCCGGGTTCATATACTTTCTATTTGAAGTATACATACCTGTTAACCATGGACTGCTTCTGTCTAGATTAACTCTTGTGTAATCAATGGTGCTAGTGAAGCTTATATCAGATCCACTCTGATTTAGCCACCCACACTAGTAGCAAGTATTAACTTCACTGGGAGCAGGAGTAACTGCAGTTGGATCTCAGGACGGATACCGGGCCCCGATGCCGTCAATCCTTTTCCTGCACCTTGACCTCACCCACTTACTGAGGTGTGGTGAGCCCATAAGTGAGATCATTTTCAAGCCCACCGAGAGTTTTGGGGGATTTCAGGGGGTGTCGGCCGTTGGACGGTTCAATAGCCAATTGTGTCATCTTTCCAAGATTCCTTTTGAGTCTCTCCGCTTTCCCGCTTGCGTGTGTGCGTGTGTGTGTGCACATGTGTGGGATATTTGTATTATGCTATTGGTATTGGTGTTGTCACAGCAACAACATCCCTTGCCAAGCCCTATGTACCCCAGCACAGCATCATCAGTCAGACAGTCTTCATCTACACCTGTATCTGTAAGTCCCCCCCCCCCCCCTCCCCTTGCACACTATACCCGCTCGGTGGTTAACGCCGATTCACAATACCACCTTTGCAACGCGACATGCAACTTGTGGCAGTTGCGACAAGAAAAACGCCTGTCGCGAGCTGTTGGGTGCAGTCGCAAGGCACCTGTTGCAGACAACATTTGCGACATGTGATGTGCGACATACACCAATGGAGTACAGTTTCTACTCCGGGTGCACGTGCATAGTACTATTCACTAGCAGTACTGTGCATGCACAGTACTGCTAGTGAATAGGGATGGTGCAAACATCAAGGTGCAAAGTGCAAACACCAAGAAGATTGTAAACCATCATGGCATGTGTCGCGGTCACGGCTCGTTGTAGGTATCGCGAGTCACATGTTGCATGTCGCAAAAAGTTCAACGGTATTGTGAATGGGCCTTTAGAGCCCTCTCTTGAATAGTGCCTCTGTCCCTGAGAGACAATGAAATAGCCCTGTCTTGATTTGTAATTCCTCCCCCCCCCCCCCCCCAGGCTTGTGATCAAGTGCATGTGTGCATGTGCATGGGAGGGGGACCAATTTCTGACAATTTCTGACAATGATCTAATACATGTACATGGTTGTATAATAATTATGTGTGTTTTGTGTGTGCATTCGCGGATGTGAACTTCCTAAGCTAGTTGTCCGAGTTCTTCAACACAATTGCATAGCTGGTGGTAACGCGAACGTGTGAACTTTTTTAAATTTTTTATTCGCGGTTGCTTGTGTGTGTGTGAATGTGTGTATATGTGTTTGTGAATGTGTGTGTGTGTGTGTGAATGTGTGTATGTGTGTATGTGTGAATGTGTGTATGTATGTATGTGTGTGTATGTGTGAATGTGTGTATGTGTTTGTGTTCACAGCCTGGTATAGTCTCCCCAGACTTGATGATGGGCGGTGGTTTTGCAGATGATGCAGCATATTTGCAGTCACCCTCAGCTACGGGTGGTAGTGCTAGCGCTGCTGCTGCTGCTGGCACATCTGCACAGGTAGGTCCTGACCATCTGCACATTGTCCACGTTTCTCACTACTGTAAGTCTACGAATTTTCGGCCTATTCGAATTTCAGCCTTCCAGGGCTAAAACCCAATTCGGCCACATCAAATTTTTGGCCTGTGCTGCTCGCGCCTGTATTCACTGTCACACTGAACAAAACAAAATTTCGGCCAAACATGACCAGGCCGAAAATAGCCGAAAATAAAAATGCACCGAATATTTGTTGACTTACAGTATCTGTATCCCCCTCCTCCCCTCCTCCCCTCCTCCCCTCCTCCCCTCCTCCCCTCTTCCCCTCTTCCCCTCCTCCCCTCCTCCCCTCCTCCCCTCCTCCCCTCCTCCCCTCCTCCCCTCCTCCCCTCCTCCCCTCCTCCCCTCTTCCCCTCCTCCCCTCTTCCCCTCCTCCCCTCCTCCCCTCCTCCCCTCCTCCCCTCCTCCCCTCCTCCCCTCCTCCCCTCCTCCCCTCCTCCCCTCCTCCCCTCCTCCCATGGTGAAGTCGCCTTCCCAGCAGCGACCATTCAAATTTTTTTCAGACTTCGAAACTTCTCCTTCTGCACAGGTTGGTGGGACGTAGCCTTCACTGTTCCACACACTTCACGTAAAAACTAGCACGTACCCCAAAACGTAAAATACTTATAAGTTTGGGGGAGTTGAGAACGGGAATGTCTGAAAACTTGTTCCCATTGCTTTTAATGTCGCAGTTTCAGTGTGTCTAACTCAGTCATTGTGTGTGTGTGTGTGTGTATGTGTGTGTGTGTGTGTGTGTGTGTGTGTCTCTCTCTCTCTCTCTCTCTCTCTCTCTCTCTCTCTCTCTCTCTCTCTCTCTCTCCCTCCCTCCCTCCCTCCCTCCCCCCTCTCTCTCTCTCTCTCTCTCTCTCTCTCTCTCTCTCTCTCTCTCTCTCTCTCTCTCTCTCAACAGATTGAGATTGTTCACCTAGCTGTGCCAAGCACTGCTGTTGGAGCTATCATTGGCACAAAAGGCAAAGAGATACGCAACATCTCTCAGCTCTCCGGTGCCACTCTCAGGGTAGGTATACTGTACTGCCACCACCGCTGCCTCTGCCTCTGCCACCATCACTGCCTCTGCCACCATCTCTGCCACTGCCTCTGCCACCATCACTGCCTCTGCCACCATCTCTGCCACTGCCTCTGCCACCATCACTGCCTCTGCCACCATCTCTGCCACTGCCTCTGCCACCATCACTGCCTCTGCCTCTGCCGCTGCCTCTGCCACTGCCTCTGCCACCATCACTGCCTCTGCCGCTGCCTCTGCCTCTGCCTCTGCCTCTGCCACCATCACTGCCTCTGCCACGGCCTCTGCCACTGCCTCTGCCTCTGCCACTGCCTCTGCCACCATCACTGCCTCTGCTACTGCCTCTGCCTCTGCCTCTGCCGCTGCCTCTGCCTCTGCCACTGCCTCTGCCACCATCACTGCCTCTGCCACTGCCTCTGCCTCTGCCGCTGCCTCTGCCTCTGCCACTGCCACCATCTCTGCCTCTGCCTCTGTCGCTGCCTCTGCCTTTGCCTCTGCCACTGCCACCATCTCTGCCTCTGCCTCTGCCACCATCTCTGCCTCTGCCTCCACATTTGCCTCCACGTCTGCCTGTGCCTGTGCCTTTGCCTGTGTCGCTGCTTCCCGCACTACAGCACACAGTTGCATTACTGTTGTACATTGCTGGATCAGTAGATGTTGGCTGTCCAATTACCGTAAAAGTCCGTAAATAAGTACGTATTTACTTTTGAATTTAGTAGCCACACCCGTACTAACGTTCGGGCGGGTACTGACTTTCGGGCATGAACTAACTTTCGGGCCTGACTTGTGTGTAGTGGAGAAGTCATTTTTATGTAGATGTGCATGCTGCATGCTGCATGTGCGCACCGTACCGGTACTTATTTCGGGCAGTATGTTTATCGGGCTTGACTTGACTTCAACAGACAGAGTCAAAAGAATGAAGGGGGTATATATTTCGGGCAGGTACTTATTTACGGACTTTTACGGAATATTTGAAAACTTTGGAGCACAGCTATCCTCACCAACGCTTTCAAACTTCTTTCTGCATTATTCATACCATGCATGTTCAGTGTCTACATCCTTAACCCGTCACCACCATGCACCAAGGAAGTGTCCTTGCTCTGCTGGGGTGTTATGTCGCGACGTGCATTGTTTCGGTTAAGAGCGCGTGGTCGTGACGGGTTGAGTATGTAGGAATTTGGAGTATGGCCGAAAGCTCTGTCTCAACACTTTATACATGTACAGCTAGAATTTTTCAGCACAGTCTTCTCACCAGGTGCACATCCAGATTCGATGTCAACTTTGCAAACTTACAGTGGCTTTGGATACATGTGTGCATGTGTGTGTGTGTGTGTGTGTGTGTGCGTGCGTGCGCGCGCTTGCGTGTATGTGTTGTGCTTGCATTCATTTGTGTTGCTTGCGTTCTTGTGTAGATATCTCGTAGCTGTGATGACAGTACGGAGAGAATTGTCACAATCCAAGGTCATCAAGAAGCGCAATGGGCGGTAGGTGCATTTTGCCACCACCAATCTGATCAGTAATCTTCACTCTCACGAAGAATGGATCATAGCAATTTCTGTACTATTATAGTAAATACATATCCAATACACTGTTTATTGTACTTTGAAGTAGAGACATTAGTGTCCACACTTTGTATTGTTCGTGCAGATCTGAATAATGGTCGTTTTAATCCTCCGTTTTCTCATTAGATTATGAGTGTTTTTGTTGTTGTAAATCTGCTGTTTTCCATATCCTGTGACAACAACAGGCCCAGAACTGTATCTACAACAAGGTGCGAGAAGAGTGTTTTCCCAACCAGTCTGGTGGAGATGAGGTGAGTACCCGTATGTGTCTCATCTTGTCCAGAAATACAACTGCACCTGCTTCCGCCGTTGCAACCACAGCAGCCAAGTCTGTTGGAAGCGAACTCTGGCACAGTTGACCACAGGCTCTGATTATTACTTTATGGACATGCACCTTTCAAAAATTTCATCGTAAATTCCTGAGCAAATTTCCATGGTCGGTATACACTCACACATGCCAGCATTTCACTGGCGATATCTGTACACTTGATTAACCTTCCAATGGTGCCTTGAAGATTATAGCCATCACAATTTGTTTGGTATGTGTTTGTACGTGCATGTGTGTGTGGGGGGGGGGGGGTGTATGTGGGTGTGCACGTGCGGGTGTGTGTGTGTGTGTGGTGTGTGTGTGTGCGTGCACGTGCGGGTGTATGTATGATTATGAAATACATTGCAGATGCAGCTGCGTGTAGAACTGACAGTTCCAGCTGGCACCGTTGGTCGTATCATTGGTAAAGGTGGCACTGCGGTACGTTTACACAATCAACACTAACCTGGCTTTGGCTAGGGTTATTGTTCAGTACAGTTGCATCTTTGATCATTGGGTCACCTGTTTCACAACGACTAGAAAGGAACGGATATCAGGATTTAGGCTATAGCATTCTTCATCTACTAGTATAAACTATAAGTTTGAATTTTTTCCTACACAGCATCAAAACTGTCTGAGTGCGTTATTCACTTGCAGGGCCGTGCAAGTTTTTCCATAGCCGCCTGTCACTCACATGTTGGCACAGGCTCTGCATTGACCTGGGATTATCGATGAACATTTTGGTGTGCGGTACCGGGCAATCAATCACTGGAGCTCCGTGATACTCAAACAAGACATGTGACACATGTGACCTACACCATGCAAACGCCTAGCGTCCGGCAATCTTCGGAAATCTAACAATCACATGTTCATGTTGACAAAATTATAGGAAATTTTCAGAAAGCTGCTCTCTGAGCTACGTTGAAGAGCCGTAAGAGGGCATCAGTTTTGTAGAAGATATTGCAAAGTTCAATGCTAAAAATTATGTTGTTTGCGTCCAGGAAAATCAGGCTAGGTTGTCGGTAGAAAATAGCAGCTCTGCCGGCTACAGGCATGGAGTAGTTCATGCTGTGTAGTGCCAGGTCACCATGGTTACAATTCATGCTGTGTAGTGATAGGTTACACGGGTGACTTAGGATTGTCTTACTACTGTGTAATATTTACAGTTGTAACTGGTGTCAAGTCGAACAACAAACAGAACCTGGAGGAGTAAAAAAAGCACATTATGTACATAGCATAGGGGAGTTGGGGTTGCTATGAAAGCAGGTATGTTGGTCGGTTCAGCAAATCAGAACTCTCCATATCAATCTAATGTAGCAAATGATACAAAGATATCCAGAGAAGCAGTGTCTGCTCCAGAGCCGGGTCAGCTGGGTCAGCGACCCGGTTGGGGGTACTTGGACCCGTTTGGAAAAAGAGCATCGAGTCACCAGAACACATGTACATTATACATCCGGGATTCCTAAATCTTTACAACTTCCTGATTAGATGTACATGCCGTTACCGCACTTGAACAGATCCGACTCTGACCTGGTTGCAAGGGTTGCGCCAGGTACACGTGTACCCGGTTGGTTTGAAATCCTAGAGCACACACAGAGAAGGGTGGCAGTGAGCTGGCAATGCAGAGGCAGTATCTTGTGCACTCTTCACAGAGATTCCCGGTTCCGGCAGACTAATGGTAATGGTTGGTGCCTATAAGCAGTTAGTAGAGTGCGGCTGGCGGAGGATGGCCTGTTTAAAAGCAAGGTAGATGCGCATCTTGGCCTCAGCTTTGTCGGTGATGTGCATTGATAACTGCAATGAAAGTCATACATACATATAGCAGAAGAATAACAGAAGAAATTAGATTGTTGCAGTCATAGTTTTCAGATTAGTAACGAGCTGGCATTGGCAGTGTATTATTCCTACCAAATGGGATGGTCATAAATGCACATGATAATGGTAATTCCTTTACAATCCCTTCACTGTTTTCTTTACAATCCCTTCATTGTTTTCTCTTGCCGTATCATATAACACACAGGTACGCGAGTTACAACGTAAGACAGGTGCAATGGTGGAAGTACCACGTGGACAACAATCGGAGAATGTCACGGTACGCATACTGGGAAACTTCCACAGTAGTCAAGTTGCTCAGCGTCACATCAAAGAAATTGTTTCTCAAGCCCAGCACCAGCAGGAGCAGCAACAGCAGCACGAGCAGCAACACCACTTCCAAATAAATCAGTCTGCAAGCTCAGCAGGTGCAGCAGGTACTGGTGCTGGCGGCGCAAGTACAGGTGCCACTGCTGGAGGTTCTGCTTCACTGACAAGCCAGGGAGCACAGTCGCCAGCACAGCACATGTCGTCACTAACTATGCAGCATCAGCAACACTCCACACAGCAGCCACAGCAGCCACAGGCACAGCAGCAGCAGCAATCTGCGTATCATGGCGGTCAACAGTACTTCACATTTGCGCAAACACAAGCTCAGCCACCTTTGCTGCAGCAACATCAGCAGCAGCAGCAGCAGCACATGTTGTCATGGCAATCACAGTGGTCGTAGATGGTATGTCCTAGACGACCAGACTCCAGAAGTATTGAGCGGCATGGTTTGGAGAAAGATGAGCTTCTAAACTTCACTTGCCTACTGGTGCCAAATGACCTACTTCTGTTTCTGCAAGATCACAAGTCTGCAAGTCTTCACTGTGTCTGTTGGTAAAGCCCAACATCGATGGTAAAGCCCAACATCGGTGAGAATCATAATGTGTACTGTCGGATTCCCTACTTGTTTTCTGTCATGTATTTTACTTGCTGACTTCTATCTTTACTGATGTTGTGAGCCTTCCTACAGCCGCTTTGTCTGCTTACTCAGTTCCAGCTGCTTTATCCATGACCATAGATCCTCTTGCTTGCTTCTAGTCACCATCTTCATCACAATCAGTATCCAACATCATCCTGTTTAATGCTAGCTGCCATCATTATCCTCCTCCTCCTCACCTACACCCCCCCCCCCATCAGAATCACTACCCACCATACTGATGCATATCCCATGGACACGTTGGTGGTTTTTCGGGACGCTCGCTGTATCTGTTCCTATTCTCTACTTTCTACTTTTGCATTTGCTACATCCAGGTGTTTGTCGTGTCGTTCCACTTGCTATGCCACGCAGTGTCATTCATTTTAGCCATTCTTCCATGCATTGCCTGAAATAGCATTTAGCTAGTTAGTCAAATTTCTAGGTTTCTAGGTTCGTGTTTACATGTCCCCCTCAGTGCCTCCACAACTCCATTGCCATGAATCCTTTTCAATCTGGTTAGGGGAGTTTCTTTGCCATTGCTTGTCTCTTCAACCATACACCAGTCTGCCATTGCTTGTCTCTTCAACCATACACCAGTCTGCCATTGCTTGTCTCTTCAACCATACACCAGTCTGCCATTCTCGCTACCGCCTGCATGTAAGTCTCAAGTGTCCAAACATTACTTCTCTGACAGTATCTGTGTACTCGTATCCGTGCAAATGAAACATATTTCTTCATACTTTTTTCTGCTTATTCATTGTTACTTTCATGTACACCTCCTCGAGATCATAGCCGCTACGCTTCACGTATCCTGCCTTACACCATTCCCTCGTGCAATATCTGTGTTTCTGTTTCCATCCCGGCGTTTTCCCAGTTTGAGAAACAGTCCAGTAACCGTGTAAGAATAGTATAGCCACTTCAGTTGTCGTCACCGCCACCACCGCTGCGCCACTGCCACCCACTGCCACCACACTGCTGCTCATCATTGTCCTTTTTGCAGTTCTCAGCACTAGCCATTGCTTCAAAGGCCTAGGCTACAATCTTCATCCATTATCCATTTCATCTTCAGCCTCGCTGCACTGATCCTGCGCTGACAAACCTCTGATCTCTTACTACATTATCATTCGCCTGCTTTTTTCTTCTTAGCAATCCAATTTCGGAACTAGTCAATCGGTGTTATGAAAGTGCCACAAGGAGTGAATGAGAGACCAAGCTGAATGTACACTGTGCATTCAGATATGCAGTGGATATTCCGGCAGTGAGTGTGTGTGTCCGGGGGGGGGGGGGGGGGGGGGCACGGCGTAAGCGCATGAATTATAAAACTGCTACATGTCATGATAGCAGTGACGACCCGGCCATTATGGAATCCAATACACCACACCACCACATTGCGAGGGTCATTGTCAATATCAATCTACAGTCAACTTCGCCAATAACGACATTCGGCGGGGCATCAGAAAAGTGTCCTTATTCGCGAAGTGTCCTTATAACCGAAGTCCCATTTGAATGTATGTGAACCCATATTTTGTATAGTATGACATGCATATCAAAATCAAGCTCTTTTCTTGCTCTATGTCAATGTGTACTTTATTTTCATATTGCAGTTGAAACGAACTACAAATTCAATATGCAAGGGAAATCAATTGAAAAATATGCCTTTTTGAGCCATCTACAGGGCCAGAGACATGTACATGTACATGTACATGTATGATGATTACTGTACAATCATGTACACAACTACATGTACATGTACATTGAATACATATAGGTGTGCTGGTAAATCCAACCGTTGAATTTTGAAGCCAACATAAAAAAGGAAGAAAAAGCCCCCTCCCCCTTGGCTGCATTTTCTTGCATGTGTGCCTTTATAATAATATTATTAATAATATCCATCACCATAGGTTCTGGTACTTCTGCATGACAGGTACATGTACTTGACTGACAGGTACTTGAAATAGCTGTCAAAAGCCCAGAAAGTCGTTATTCAAGCAGTGAATATGACCTCGGGGCACTAAAAGCATGTCGCTATACGCGAATTGTCGTTATTCAGATAGTCGTTATATCCGAAGTTAAATGTATACAGTTAGATGGGACTTTGCTCTGGGCATGGAAATTCGGTCGTTATTCGCGAATTGTCGTTATATCCGCAGTCGTTATTAGCGAAGTTGACTGTATATACCGGAATTGTCCTCGCTGTGGTGATGGTGATGTGAGTGCAGAGTTTGGATCCGGCAAGAGCGCAATGTGGTGGTATGGTGTATGATAGCACACTGTTGAACATACTCCTGCATATTGTACTGTGACCCGACGATAGTTCGGAGCTGTGGCGATACACACAATAATTTCACTTATTCACTGACCTCGTAAGGGTATACTGTGCGTGTCAAATGATCTCCTGGGGGCGTTTGCAGCTGACAACCAGTCACCCTGATTGGATGTTTAGGGCACGTCCAGTTTCATCATGATTGATACGTATATTACTAGTGAGTGTTGTACGACGCCCGCCATCGCAGCACTTTGAAAAGATATTCTGAAGCTCAGCAATTATTACATTGCAGTTATTGACGCAGCAATTTTATAATACGCGGTCCCGATCCCTAGCTAGCTAGCCCACAAAAACTAAAAATTAAATACCGTATTATCTCTAATATCAGCACGGCCCTTTATTTTTTCAATGTACATGTACCTCCGCCCCGTGCTACTAAGGCCTGGTAATGGAGACGTTCCTTCAGTTTATTGGAGACTGTTCCATTATTATTTCAACCTCATTTCAGAGGCATGTAATTATTGTTGCCATGCCAAATTCATGTCAGACACGCACATTTCAGTTTTTTTCCGCCGGTACAGATAATGAATTTACACAGTGTGCTTGAGCACTATATTTTTTGAATGCCGCCCCAAAGTGTTCTATAGGGCTTGAAAGTGCTACGTCACTCCATAGCAATGGCATAGCAACAATTTGAAAAATTCGAAAACTGGATCCACCTGGATCCAGTTTTTGTATGGATCCAAGCACATTTCAAGCGGTCTCACTCACAGCAAGGTGATGTTGCCAGTGAAACTGACTGATTTGGCTAGTGGGGGCGGGGTGACAACTGGTGGCGAAGTAAAAGTTGCACCTGCATACGACATGAGTGGGTTGCTATGCACCCACATACTGAGGCAATAGCAAAGTCACACCTTAGTGGATCCAAAATAGAAATCTGATGTCAACTTACTACTCCCTGGCCGTTTTTGACGTCATCACTTTCAAGCCCTATTATTGCCGAGACGTGCTATTATTGGAGACTGTACATTAGTCATTAGAGATACATGTACAATGACGGTAGTAAAAAGCTACTCGCCCTGGCCTGGACCCTTGCCTATGCCTGGTGGACCTACGGCTACGCCTAGACTGCAGACAGTAGTAGAGGCTAGACTACACTACAGTCTACAGAGTATGTTGCATAAAAAGGATCCACGAGCGGGATTCGAACCCAGCACCCCTGTCTTTCCGGGACAGTGCCCTACCGATTTAATAGGCTACCACGCGTACCGGGGATCACAAACACTCATGGGTTCTTCTTGCTACATTGCTTCCCTACCCCAACAGGCTGTGTCCTCACGCCGTACCTACTCGCGGGGGTACGATGGGTCGTGGGTTCGAGCCATTGCCAGGCGCCAATGTTGCAAAAAGAAGGTTCCCGTATGTCACATCCACGAGCGGGATTCGAACCCAGCACCCCTGTCTTTCCGGGACAGTGCCCTACCGATTTAATAGGCTACCACGCGTACCGGGGATCACAAACACTCATGGGTTCTTCTTGCTACATTGCTTCCCTACCCCAACAGGCTGTGTCCTCACGCCGTACCTACTCGCGGGGGTACGATGGGTCGTGGGTTCGAGCCATTGCCAGGCGCCAATGTTGCAAAAAGAAGGTTCCCGTATGTCACATCCACGAGCGGGATTCGAACCCAGCACCCCTGTCTTTCCGGGACAGTGCCCTACCGATTACGGATTAGGCTACCGGGGATCACACACACACACACTCATGCCATGGATCCTTCTTGCTACACTGCTCCCCCGCCCCAACAGGCTGTGTCCTCACGCCGTACCTACTCGCGGGGGGGGGGGGGGTACATGGTCGTGAGGGCTCATACTCATAGACATAGAGTCATACAACAAGACGTTTATACTCGTTGTAGTACAGTTCTGATGATCATTATTTTCGCTGCCATGGCGCCACTGGTGACTGGGTACCAATGGTTACGGAAAATTGCGACTCAACGCTATCTTTTTTGTTGTTGTAAAAAGGACTTTGCAAAGGAGCGATAGAAAGATTTCTCTCATTGAATCTCAAATCTACTGCTTAATTAATTATCGCTAGCGCTAGTAGTAGTACCGTCCCTGTCAAAGATCGAAGGCTAAGCTTAGGCTGAGTAAGGGTATTCTACGTGAATCTTTTTTACTAATTTAGCGCGTAGCTGGTGCTAGCTAATCACTTCAATGTCTTCAGGACTCGCTCTCCGTTGATTTATTTGTGAGAAAACAGTTCTCTCAAGGTCCAAGCTTGCAGAATACAGAAACGGCTTCTTGCTGTCTTTTCTTGTCTTCTTGTTCCAGAAAGGCTTTTTCAGTTCATAGACTGCTTTAGCGAAGAGGGCTCCCAAACTTGCTGCTAGTACCGTTGCTGCAAGACGTTGAAGATATCTTCAGCAGTATTAAACAGTCATGCCCGTTCGGTAAAGAATTGTTGGTCGTCACTAACGAGCACTTGTTGAAATAACCTGTTGTACTTTCCGACTCCAGTGCAAGTCCTGGAGCAGCCAGGTTATTTCAATTGACTCTCCTCGCCTTGACTACCAGACCTGGAAGTAGTTCAGCGCGGTGTTGCCTTTCAGTCGTTACTACCAAGCCTGTCTCGCTATCATCGGCTTCGCAAAGGATGGTCATGGCCTGAAAGATATATTCAATTATCAGCTGTGCAGCGAGGCGTACATTATCAGTACTATTGCAAGAAGTCTGGAAAAGAAGGGATACATTGGTACCGGTACAAAGACTCTGGACATGTGCTGGTCTCATATCACCGCATCAGCTACAGCCTGGAATATTAGCTGACTGGTGAAAGACTGCGGGGCACGGAATTAAACTCTACAATGTTCTAATGCTGAGCAGCTGCTATGTTGACAAAGCTAACACTGCAGATGCAGACCTGTATTCTCTGGTGTAAAGCTATCAAGGTGCAGACACACTGAAGGGAGGTTGCGCAATGGTGAAGCTGAGTGGCAATTATGACCTAACAAGATTCTCTGCCAAGCGACTTGCTTTCGGAACATGCGTATCATGTTGTGTGCAAGACCACAGTAAAACGACAGCTCCTTGTTTTGTCACAGGTAAGACTACATTCGGCTAGTTAACTGATTTAGGATACAATCAAAATAGATGGGGGGGGGGGGGCAGTACTGGCTGCATACACCGGCACTGGTGAAGCAAATTTGTAAAAAAGACCGTAGGGTCTCAGTGTTTGCACCACACCATTAAAGAGGACATTATGGAGAGGAGAGGCGAAGAGCACAAAACAAAGGATACGAAAAAAGTGGGTGTATTTGAGAAAGAGGTGTTAGGCCGACAAGTTCATGTATGCACGCACTCTCACACCAACCGACCTTTCTCGCAAATATGCATGTACACACGCACTCATACACACGGCATGCACCCTTTCCCGCTTCACACTTCTCGTATTATTCATTTGGCCTGGGTAGCTACATTCGCGCTCTCGTACATCCATAGCCAGCAATCGCATGTCATCACGTACATTCAAAATCAACATAATTTTTCGAATCGACCTTTTTTTCAGGATCACTTTTCAACGAGGACGAAGCAAAGTCGGCCGAACGAAGCCTAGAGGAAGAAAATCACCCTCTCCACTTCACCATCACGATACTGACATAGATACGAGATGAAACAACTAAAAAATCCACAAGAAAACTGTATGGCCATCATCGCGCTGACTTTGGTCTGACTTTGGTCTGAGAATTTCTATCACGATCAAAAATGTACGAGGAGCACTCAAAAATAAGCAACAGACGTACCTCTATCGCTCTCTACTCCTTTTTCAAGGCACAAAAGTCGACTCTCCACTTTCAAACCAGGAACCAGACATACCAGTGGTCCTTTTCAGCTGCTCCACGAGCGCAGGAAATGTTCACCAAGGGGCGCAGAGCAGCATCCATTCCAGAAAAAGAGCTAAAATACGAGTGAGACTGCATGCCTGAGTACATGAGTACATGTATGAGTACATGCAGAAAATAGTCAATTTCAGCGTTTCTGCTCCAAACAGCAACTAGCTTCGACTAGAAACAAAGATTACACCAAAGGATCAAACAACAACCATTTTCTGCAGTTTTTTTGCAGATGGCTTCCTTGTGCTGGGCCCAGCACGCCAAAAATCACACCTCGGAGGAGTACAAAAATTACAACTCTCAGATGTCCTCGATTGCTGGCCATGCATTGCCATAGCTAACCAGGCCCTTTATAGCCTTGTGTTTTGCTCGCCTTTCACTCTCTGTCGACTGACTACGATCTTGCCCAGAACTCGATGGGAAGTAGTTCAAGAAGATGTGAGTAGGATACTGATCACAGGGCAGGTGTCCATCAAATATCCATCAGTTTGACGGAACAAGTCCTAGAAATTCCTCTATTGATTATCATGAGACAATCATGATGGAAACTTATCACAACAATTATACCTATCTAGGTAGAGCATTGTACAGTATTTATATTTACGCCTAAAGTTTAGTTCAGATTTGACTTGACACGATGGGATGCGAAGTTGGGAGCAACAGGAACCGACTGGACGGTCATGACCCTGATCAAGGCCATCTAATGTGAATACTAGCAACTGAAACGTAACCGTGCTGCCCTACAGATAGGGAAGCGGCGGAAGAGTTGAATCTGATCAACTTTTCATACCGTATGCGGGGGGGGGGGGATGCAAGTGTAGAAAACAACTGCATTTCGAGTGTGAACTGGTGACGGCGTTTTGCACCGATGCACTCAACTGCAACTTTGCAAATTTTATCATTTCCGACACTATGCTTCACATGATACCTCAATGAATGGCTCACATGACTGAGTGGAATTTTATCTAGCTAAGATGTTCATGTCCCCTTGCTGTATTTAGGGATAAACTCGGAGGGTGTCAGACGAACTGTTTTATCTTTATCTGTGGCTTTTATTAGAGTGGCCCAGTGTATGTGGCTAAGTTGTTTGGACTTCATGCCGAAAGTCAGCCCGTCATGGACCTTATGCCTTGTAGGTCAGGAAAATCGAAGTTGAACACATCGCACCAATGCGGCATGTCGTGTCATTCGACTCCTACAATGTTTTACAAGTCTTCTCAGCCTTTCCCGACAGGCTCTTAGGTCCCGTACCATCAGTGCAATGTTGAATGTGAGCAGATAAGAGAGATGAAGTGTGTGGGTGGGTGTGTTTCTTATAATGTGTGTGAGCTGATAAAGCCTGGCTCACATTCAGCAGAACACGATGGTACGGACATGTAAAAGCCTATGGGGAAGGCTGGGAGGAGCTGTAAGAATCTGATGCCATTTGTGCGACACAACAGGACATAGCTGTTGCGCTGTTCAACGTCGATCGGCACGGGTCATAAAGCACGGCCCGAGACGAGTTTATTGTCAACCCCAATTTCTTGTTTTCGGAACTTCTTTCACACTTATCCTTAAGTGACGCGAAATTATGCTCACAATACCAGTTTTCCGTGAAGACCAAAATTAGTCGTGGGCTGTGTGCCATTAATGGCCACAGAAAATGATAAAGCAGTTCACCTGGTACATTCCAGGACAATCCTTGAATTCAGCAAGTAACATGCAATCCTAGCTAGCTTGCTAAAAGTCAACGCATCACATAAGCCATTCCATGAGTTATCAATGGAAGCTAGTGTTCAAGTGAGTTATCAAGGGAAGCTAGTGTTCAAGTGCTGAAATTTGCCAAGTTATAGGTACGCACCAATATAGGGCGCACAACATCGTCTCCAGTTCACACTCAAACATGCAGCCTCTTTTCATGCTTGCATCCCGCGTATGGTGTGAAACGTTGAACGGATGCAACTCTCCCGTTGCTTCCTGGGTTGTACGGTAGTTTGTGTGCGTTCCAGTTCCTGGCGTTTGCATTAGAAGCCATCAGTAGGCGTCGTGAGCGTCCCGTCGGTTCCTGTTGCTTCTTAAATCGCGTCCAGTTGGGCCCCGTAGAATGTGAGTGACCAGGCTTCATAAAACTGGATAAGGCCATGGTAAAAAATAAAGTTGATTCTCAGGTCATGAGCCTGTGTAAATCGGTGCGAGCGAGCAATTTTTTATTTTATTTCCCACAATTTTTTTATTTCCAAAGATAGGGTCACACATATGTACATGGTCCTGTGTTGCCACACCTGCCGACATGTCAGTAGCCTGCCGATTTTTGGGGCCTGTCACGACCTGCCGACAATTGACCGTCTCCTGCCGACAACAGCCGTGAAAGTGTCCAAACTTGACCTTTGTGCTTGGTTTAGAAGTCATGGTCCAGAATTTTGGCTTTTACTGCTCATTACGATTGTTTCCATAGCTCTCTCCTACAATACAAACATCAGCTGTCTGGGGGAAATCGTGTGCACTGTAGAATCCCGCTGGTGGGTTTGTACAACGAAGCTTGGTGATGTTCTAACTTGGCCTAGGCTTATGCGTGGGTGGGTTTAGTCGCTGGATTCTACGATATATTAGGGTTACTATGAGAGGGGGGGTCCGGGGGCGAAGCCCCCGGATGATGCATTTTATTTTTTTCAGTCTACTGATATTTGGCTATAATGATGTGGCAACACTGATGGTCACATGTTCATATATTCAGGCCAGGGAGTAGAAAAATACCGGTATTTTACTACTCCCTGATTCATGCCTTTCGCATTGACCGTTTTCATGCGCGCATATGCATGCATAGAATTTTTTTTTTAAATCGTCGGTGCGCCACCAAAAAAGATAATTTTTACCATGGCCTAAAAGAGAATCATGAAAATAAATTAGTATAGTCAGAGGTACATCAAGAAGGGTTCGTAACTCCGCAGCTGGCCTGGTCCAGGGCGCATTGTTGATGTCACCTTTTCCATGACGAACATCGTGCGAAGCACACACAAAGCATACGTTGTACACCAACCATGAAAAGTTTGTGTTGGTGGTTTTGCTGCTTGCAGATCGAAAAATTACCTTGCCAGCTTCGTAGCTTTTTATCGTACTCGTAGTGCAAAAATAAGTGAAAACCAGCAAAGTCCATGCGGCCATGCGGCCACGCACGGACTTGTAGTCTCGCACCGTATTACAGTACTGGCAATATATGTTGCCACGTAACGCGTAACGCAGGGGGTGCGGCGTAACGCGCGACCAGGCTAGTGAGACAAATTTTCGTTGCGTTTGTAACGCGCGTCCGGCGGGGTGCGGCAATCTTTTCATTGCAAAAAAGGCTGAAAACTGTGAAAGCACGTGTACCGCGTGGTGAAAAGTTCAAAACTGGACGCAGCAGGAAGTCCTGCAATAGCAAAAAAAGGACTGCGGCAATATAGAAACCTGTGTAACGGCTCCTGTGCGACTTTGCATGTAACGCCCTGCGTGCGGTTAACATGTGCCAATGTAACGCTTCATGGCCTCACTGCGACCATATATATTGCCAGTACGGTACTCATGATCTCCAAAAACGTTGATGTCGAAAAATCTGCCGTGTGACAAACCAAGTTTTGCAAACTCGTATTATGTACTCTTGATTTAAACGGTGTGAGAGAGTATGAAGTGTTGGTACAGGTGTAAGCATGTTTGCATGTTTTTATGTGCTTGTGTCTGTACCCAGCATGTTGTGCTTGGGAGCAGCAGAAAACTTGTCTTCTTCTGTCTAGATGAACTCTTGTGCAATCAATGGTGCCTGTTAACCATTTATCCGATCTTCTCTGATTTATAAGAAAGGGTTTGCTCCCCACACCGGAGCTCGCGCTATTCCGCCGTACTGTTGTGCCCAGCGCGGGCTTGCGACTAGTTGGTTTGGAGGTGACAGCGTTGCGAATGACCGAGGGTCCTCAACGTCTGGTCTCACCGTCCAGGAGCGACACTGACTCACGCTGCTATCTGGTGTTCACGAGGTGTTTATCGCGCTGGAAGCGGAGCGTCTCTGTAAGTTTGTATCCCTGGTGATGTTTGTACCTGGAGAGCACTATATAAGTGGTGCTCTTCAGGCACAATCTTCCTCAGCCTACTCAAGCTCAACTGATGAGGGGTGAATTCCCCGAAACACTGTGTATTGAGCAGGGAGTGGTGCTTTCTTGCAGGTTTGCCGAGTCGAAGGTTCGATGGACTTCTCGTGTGCTCTGGATGGCAGTCGTGAGTCAGTCAAGTGTCAAGTAAAGTCGGCGGAATAGCGCGAGCTCCGGTGTGGGGAGCAAACCCTTTCTTACAAATCATCGCCGAAGTCGCAACCACTACTTCGTTCTCTGATTTAGCTACCCAAACCAGCTAGCTTCCCATGTTCCTGCACTGGAGGCAGGTGCAAATGCAGTTGGAACCTGGGACGGATACCTTTAATTCATTCCCTACTCCTTTTTCTGCACCGTGTCCTCCCCAACTTACTGAGGTTTGGTCAGCTCACAAGTGAGCCAATTGAGCTATCTTTCCAGGACTCCTTTTGAATCTCTTTCCTCTCTACCAGGGAGATCTATGGGACCAGTTTCTGGCAGTAAGCAAGTGTGTGCATATGCGCGTGCGTATTTGTGTGTGTGTACACGTATGTGCGTGTGTATCTGTCTGTCTGTGATTGGTAAGTGATCAGTCTTAGTTTGATATTTTATATTTGCCATTTACTGCTGTCTGTTTGCTATTTCTGTCAGTTTTCTGCATCTCCAAAGAACAAGATGCTTTGAGCAGTCTGCAGAGTGGTGCTGCTCCCTCTATTGGACTGCTGTGTGTGGAGGTGTCACCTGATTGTTCTAGCTGAAGAGAAGTGTCCCTTATGTGAAAATTGTAGGTATTTGTGAATTGAATGTGATTGTGCTCCTACTTTTCCTTTCAGATATGTTTCAGAAATGATAGTTGTTTCTGCTCTATATTCCCGGCGGCGGGGATGAGCCGACAGTTTGTCACGCTACATACAGTGAAACATGTCTAAGGACCGCTCAAGGGACCTTCAAAAGGGTGGTCTCTGTAACCAGGTTGTCTCATTATCCAGTGCCATTTTACTTGAAAGAGCATTCCTTGGTCCTGGCTGCAGTGGTCTTCTAGGACAGGTGGTCGCCTTAGGACAGGTGGTCGCCTTAGGACAGGTGGTCGCCTTAGGACAGGTGGTCGCCTTAGGACAGGTGGTAGCCTTGACAGGTTTTGCTGTACACTGTGTATGTGTGTATAGAAATGAAATGATGTAAATGGTAGCATCAGTAGTATTGTTGTAATCAATTCTGTGGCTATGTCGGCTTCTTGTCACGCACACTGGGAGTGCATATAGTTGGTGTGTAGTAGATAACACAACAGCAGAAGCAGCAGAAGCAGCTACATGAGCACCAACTGTGATGCTACTAATGTTTACTTGGTTATGATAGTAGTAGTACTGCGAGTCTTTAGCAGTGATATACTGTCGTGGACATGGAAATCCGGTCGCACGTCTAGCGGCTCCAAGGCGCTGGCCATGCAGCCGCTGCGCTGGCCATGCAGCCGCTGCGCTGGTCGCATCGGATTAACATGTGCATGCACTGCATGCAACGGCGTTACGTTCTGTACACACTGAGGGCGCCGACACCGGTTAATCGACTGGATTTCCATGTCCACGACAGTACATAGGCTCAGACATGCACAGCACAGTACATGATATACATAGACTTACACATACATAGCACAGTACAAGATATACACCGGCCATTGGAAATGGTCAAAGGACTGCTTTATGTAACTAAGTAAATGCTAGTTTACATCCAGTGGTACTGCAAGGTGGCTAGCTGCTGTCTGGTGTAAAGTTGACAATTGCCAGAGAGCAGAATATTGTCTTTACAAGCTAGCATGTTCTAGCTTCTATGTTGAGAACATATTGTTCATGATGGTGAAGGGATTAGAGATATGTCGCTATTCAAAGTTACATCAGGAGGTTTCTGATGCGGCCTTTAGAAATATTGTAACCTTGGCTCTTCTTCTTTGTATTTCTATTCACTATTGTTGTTGGCATCACGACGTCTTATGATGCTGATACTGACATTTGGCCAACCGCACGCACTAAGGCTGACGTCATTGGCAATGTCTTCCGAGGCATCACAGCTGCTTCTGCGGACGTCGCGCACTAGTATTGCTGCTGCCGTTTTTGTTGTACGAGATCCATGATGGCTTCTGTCAGACTCTGGTGAGCTTGCATTATCTGAGAAGCAGTACTGCAGGCATCCTTAGAATGGTACGGTATTGCTTGTTCTCTTGTAATATACTAGTTCTCCCGGTTCTAATTTTTATTTGCTGAATGCCTTCTTAGGCTTAAAAGCTTTGATGAGCAAGCAAGGGCCCTTGCATGGTCACCTTTAGGGAATAATGGGGATATTGATACGTCAGGACAGGCGAAACTTTCTAACATAACTTAGAGTAACACCTCGAACAAATCTGTGAGGTCATGGAACAATGCACTAAGTCACTCGAGGGAAGCTAGGAATTAAATTATCGTGTCTGCGTGGTAGGGTTTGATGCAGCAATGTGACACTCTTGTGTATCAATGTGTAAATTATCTTTTCAGTGATACCAGCTCTAGCACTATTGCATCACAACGTCCCAACTCGGCAATCACAATCCAAATGTAACTAAGTTATTTCCTACGGTAGTTCCATCCGGCGCTCTTGTTGATACGGAGCCTGGTGGTAGCGATCTCGATGGATTCATGCGATTTGCTTTGAGCTTTTTCTCTTTTCCTGACAACAATGGCAACCACACAGAACTCACCCTGATCGCTTTCCAAAATGCAATCCGGGTGGCTTGAATGGAAATGGCCTTTCCAGGACTTTTCTCCTGTCTACCTACTCCCCTCACCATTATGGTCTTCTAGGCGTTTATCAAAGGGGGAAGGGGGTGGGGAGGTCAGAATGAGTTCTCTGCGAATGCCATTGTTGCCAGGAAACCAGAAAGAGCTTGCAGCAAACGACACGAAACCATCAAGATCCCTTGCACCAGTCTCCACATCAACACGAGAGCTGCATGAAAACTATCGTCGGTCGAATGGGGATGGCTGAGTTGGACGTTGTAATGCAATAGCGATAGAGCAGCTCAGCCAGTATCACCAAAAAGATAACTTAGACCTTGATGTTAAATTAAAAGCATAGAAATCAGTGGCACACGCATTTTGTGATAAGAGTCCACCGACTAGACCAGATTTTGACCAGACTTTCACAATTTGGCACAAAACTGAAAAGGAGTAATGAGAAATTCCACGCGGCGTGGAAGTGAGGTTGAACACTGCTCGATAGTGCTAACCAACGGCCTTCCAACTTGGAAAGTTCATCAATCATGGATATTAATGATAATTCAAAAGAGGGGAAGCTACCTTCCAAGGCTCCACGGAATGCTGGTTTGGTACGATAGCGGGAGCTGTGCTCAGTTCACTTCCGTGCCGCGGAGATGTATCAGTGCTCCTTGACAGTTTTATGCTAAATTCTGCAAGTCTGACTGTTCAAAATCTGGTATAGTTGGTCGGTGCCTAACGCATAACACGTACCCCTCTTTCATGCTTTCAATTGAGAATACTTCCTTGTCTCACCAACTGAGTTCTTACCGAACACCTTGATGTATAAGAGTGTCACATTGCTGCTTGAAATCCTTCCATGTAGATATGATAATTACAAATCCTAGCTTTCCTCATTACAGTGTATGCACGAGGTGTGGGTTAAAATTGATTCAGTTCTTTTCAGTGCTTTGGAAATGGCAGTGTCCACACAAGGGATTTGTGAGAATAGCTCTGACCCGGAACTGGGATGCCTGTTATAACCGCAGACCGACACTGCACACAACAACCCAGCACTGCACACAACCCGGCACTGCACACAACAACCCGGCACTGCACACAACAACCCAGTACTGCACATGGCAACCCGGCACTGCACACAACCCGGCACTGCACATGGCAGAGGAACGCTGCACATGGCAGAGAAACGCTGCACCTGGCAGAGAAACACTGCACACGGCAGAGGACCACTGCACATGGCAGAGGACCACTGCACATGGCAGAGGACCACTGCACATATCTCTTAGTGTACTGAAACAGGGACGTACAAACGGGTTGCGTCCCGTCGTTCCTAGTCTTTAAAAATACAGCGTAGTCTTCAGTTTTATAGAGAGGTTCCGGAGTACGATTTTCCTTGTCATAATCCGTAGAGGCTCTACAGATTTTTTATACGTCGTTTTCGAGCAGTGAAATATTCCAGAGCACGGAACTTATGTGTTTGCCGTCATTGCCTAGGTTGCGATCGCAAACACGTCACATTGCCACGCTATGCCTTTTTATTTTGAAAATTTGTACCGAAATCAAAACTTCCGAGGAAAATCGATGTTTCTCGAACCAAATTTGTACGCGGAACATCTTTCTGCACTCGATGACGCAGAGTCTCCATACGAAATATGGTTCGTATGAAAGTCAGTCCACACGGATTCTCCGTGCCGAAAAATCGTATGAAGCACGCCTCGAAAAAATCCGCACCGCACATACGTATTTTGGCACGGAAAATCGTACCCCGACACCTCTCTAATGTGTATGTCTTTGTGTTTGTCAATATTGTGGCTATGTTCAGTTAGTCTGGTAGAACATGACAGTACTGTTCAATGAAGTTCTGTCACATTGAGTCTAGCTTGCGCCTTGTACCATGTCGCGGCTGACTGGTCGCAGGTATATGGCTATGCAATGCGTGGTGTGTACTTGAGTGACTCGATGGGTGGATTTCATTGAGCAGGACTATAGTATTCAGAGTTCTAGTTCAGCTGCATGCATCATGCCTGCTCCAACTAGAGTACTGTCGGGTGCTAAAGAACTTGGGGGTCAGCCTTGTAGCCTAGGTTGTTCTTATTTTCATGTACTGCAGTCTATACACGATTGTGTCACCGTGTATACATTGGTATCCTATGCTTGGTGAAGTCCTGGCCTGTTTGTTTTTCGACGGCACTCCCTTCTTCAGTACCCGACAGTATTGTATTGTAACTCGTTCAACTGACTATAATTATGCTCCTGTTGTGCATGCGTATGTGCACGCGGTCGTGCGTGTGTGTGCGCGAGCATGTGTGTGTGTGCGTGTGTGTGTTTGTGTCTGTGTTCTATGCATGCTTTCCATGCGTGCATACATGCTTGGGTGTACATGCATGTGCGTCGATGTGTGTGGTAGCGTGTATGAGTGTTGGTGCATGCATGCGTGTGGGTGTGACTTTGGGCATTTGTTCGTGTATGTGCAAGTTGCATGATTATTGCAGTGTGCAAGAAACTCGTAGTTGCGACGAACTCTGTTAACGTCCTTTGTGTCCTTTTGTGTGTTTGTGCATGTATAGGTGATGGCACATCTGGGGTGATCTTCAGGAAGCAGTTGAGGAATACTGTATACACTATGCAGTGCATATAGAATGCCCATCCCCGTCACCTGACACACGGTGGGATACCTTCCAACTAGGTAGCCTCCGTGTTGAGAATTGGAAGAAAGCGGCAAAGACTGACTTGGTGCGGGCTGTTGGTATTTCGCTTGAGCAGCCAAGCGATATCGTGGGTGATAGGGAGTGGCGGCTTGCCACGCCAGGCCATGATTCTACCCACAGCATTGCAGTGAATTCCTGATTTCAACCAGCAGTGAGACTTGCAACAGATGTAGTGTGTCAGTGTAGCTATCGCTGGCCACAAACCATACTTTACACACATGTTCACATAGACAATGGTGCATTGCATCTATGACTGCCAGTCTCCACACTCACACTATACTGTGCTGTATTGTAATGTTATAACTTTTAATCCTGGTAGTAGACATGCGCTTCATTGTATCTGTGTTCTTACGGAACAATGCACTATGCTTTTGCACTTTTTAACCACTTCCTTTTTTCGAGTTCCCTCTCTCTCTCTCTTATCTCTCTCTCTCTCTCTCTCTCTCTCTCTCTCTCTCTCTCTCTCTCTCTCTCTCTCTCTCTCTCTCTTTCTCTCTCTCTCTCTCTCTCTCTCTCTCTCTCTCTCTCTCTCTCTTTTTTTTTTCTCTCTCTCATCTTAATTTCGATGGATGGAACGGTGGCCTACCCTCCAACTTCCATGGATCATGCAGTCTACTGAAGCACTCCCCTTATCTCGTTTGTTTCAGTCAAGATCATGATGTATAAATTTTGGTAACTGTAGATTCTTATGCTATCAAAGTATCTACATGTATTTGTCTGTATGACTCATCTCTTACAGTCAGTAATATGCATAGGCTAACTTTACCTACTTGTTCATTTTGATAACTTGTCTCCTTCCTGCATTGTCATTAATTTTCTTATTTCGATGTATATTTTAGTGAATTATTATTTTATTATTATCAAATTTTTGATAGGGCAATCCCCACAGGCCTAAGGCCTTCTTACAGGTGAATGACCTCATCACTTCAAGATCTTTCCCTTTTCTACTTACAGGCTACATTCTATTGCTGAAACATTCTTTTGCTAGGTTTCTGCTTCTATTTCAGCATAATCAGTACCGATCTATTCTTTTACAAAAATATCTTCTTTGTTCGACTACATTTACTTTTTTTACTAAATTTCTTCTGTTCTTACAAGTACTTTTTCTAAGCCGTACTTTTTTCGCGTTTTCTAATCATTTTTGACACAGTTCTGAAATATTTTCTCACATTATTAAAAAAAAATTGTAGACCTAAAGTTTCTATGGAACCCTGCCTAGTGAAGCATAGCAACCAACTGGTTTTTATAGCAGTAGCCAAGTGGCACCCGGCCTAGCTAGTACCTGCAGGATCCAGCAGCAGCAGCAGCTGCAGCAGCGTGGGGGGGGGGGTGGCTAGTAAGCAGCTGTAGCAGTAGGAAGCCACCACAGTTCACAATTGTGTATGGTTGCCATGGCAACGGCCATTTTTCAGGCAAAAATGGGCTTGTTGCCATGGCAACCACAGAAATTCAGACCATATTTGGCTATTTCTCTTGCGAATATTCCATATTTGGCACCTTTCCAAAAGTTTTCAGCATTTTCTGGTCCCTGGACCTTGCTCCAGCCAAGCTACAGGCCATTCCTCAGCCTACAATCAATGACTGAAGCGTGTGAAGTCAGCTGCTGGGATTCAAAGTACATGACTGTACTACTTCATGCCAAGCAAGTTCCCAAGAACCTGAAATGCATATGAATGCACAGAATACCAGCATCTGAAGTAAGGGGAATACTCCGTGCCTACTGCCATACATCCATCTTACACCATCAACATCTTAATTATTGAGCAGATGTTGTTTATACAATAATCATATCTGCATTGTTATCAGCAACACTCATCGAGAGTAAATTACACTAAATATGGACTTCGCAGTACAGAAATCATGACAAAATGTTGACGTGTGAAAGACGGGCCTATTCCTGTGAAAACCGATGTCAGGGCTAGGCTTCCATTCAAATCAGGCATTTCTGTGTACATGTATGTCAACGGTATAATCAGGCCTCTGTGCCGGCCGTGTATCGTAAAAATCAGACTTGTATAACAGGCTTCTATATGAGACAGGCTTGTAATACAAGACACTTCGGTAAATGTGTCCCAAAGTCAGCTATCAATGTTACCATAGCTACTTGTCATCTTCTTCTGCATTCCACCGTGCTTGTTCATCCTGCTATCATTCAATACAGTGATATGCTGCTGTAGAATATTTACAATAAGGATATAGCACACCACATCTGTCCTATGTCTGTTCCTGCTTCCGTTGCTGTTCTTGCCGCTTACTTGACATACCTGAGGTAGTCTTGTCAGTACAGGACAGCAATATAGGAGGACAATGTTGCTCTGCAGATGAGCCTCACACATAGCAGCAGATCATACTGTATCACCATGCTGAGTGGGATCAACCGTGGATGACTTCTCAGCTGGGATAATCAATCACATACCATTCAAATAATCCACGTACCTTGACGAACCATTCTATATACACCCTACATCAATAGAAACGTGAGCACATGCGCGTGCAAGCACACACACACACACACACACACACACACACACACACACACACCTGTCCTGTAGAGTCACTGCCGCAAAAGGGTCACGTGATCCCATCACTGGGAAACTTGAGAAGAGAGAGAGAGGACACGACGCTCGATGACGCTCCAGGTGCACGGGTAGTCGCATCCGCTTGCCGCATATGCACACGCGCTGGAAGGCTGAGCGCTCCTCTGCTGTTGGTCTATGCGCCACCCTTGAACAGCGATGCATGCCCCGTCCCCGGACATCGCGAAAGCAGCGACCACACCTGTCACAATGCGCGGCACAACATCCCTCCGCCGGTGCCGACGTTCCGGTAGCTCCAGGTGGCACTGTGGCATCCACCGTTGAGGCACACACATGCCGGACCAAGCCACCGCGGCTTCTCAGCCACCGTCCACACCGCCCGCACTGACTGGTGCCCCGCTGCTCAGACACAGGCCGCGCACGCTCTTCCAGACACTTATGCCGAGCCATGTCTCCTTTCCGTGCAAAATCCCGTCCGCATACCGTACATACCACTCGGGGCGGAGGCTCAGGCGCATTGTCAGGCTCTTGGTAGGTGCTGCGCCACTCCGTGCGGGACTCACATGCAAAATCATACCATGATGCCTCCACGCCACGGGCACGTAGATCCCGGACAGCACAGTCCTTCCATCTGCGGCGTGGGCCATGTGCTGGGCGACGCTGCAAGAAGGAGCCAAACAGTACCTGTTTCGGGATGCGGTTGTCCGGCATCCGCGCCACATGCCCCAACCACTCCAACCGCCGATGTGCAATCTTGTATTTAATCGTCTCGGAGTCTCCCCAGTGCACCAGCAGCTCTTCGTTGGTGATGTGTTCGTCCCACATCCGGCTTCGAGAGACCCCGAGGATGGATCGGATGCACCTCATGCTGAAGGTTGAGAGCTTCTGCAGGTCATGTTGAAGGGGCGTCCAGCACTCAGAGCCATACAACAGCAGGGACAGAACGCAAGCATTGAATACGCACCATTTGGTGTGCATCAGCAGATGTGGATTGGAGAATACAGACTTCCGAAGAGCACCGCAAGCCCCGGAGGCTTGGGCAATCCTTGCGGCGATGTCCCGGGACGAACGGCAACCGCTGTCCACTACAGAACCGAGGTATTTGAAATGCGGTACGCATTCCACCTCCGCTTGACCAAGTTGGATGGGAGCGCGGTCAGTAGGCGGGATGTCGAGGCCAACAACTACAAACTGAGTCTTCGTTGCACTGATGGTCAAGCCGAATCCCGACGCCACCTCGTGAAGACAGCACAATGCTGCCCCCACTCCAGACCGAGTCGTAGCGAATAGACAAGAGTCGTCAGCAAACTGGGAATCTGTTAGGCAATGGTGTTGGTCGTCACGGCGGGGTTTACGGTATAGATCGCTGCTGTATGCTGAGTGGAGCTCGAAGCCAACCCCGTCAACTCTCGTGACGCGGTGTTGCCACTGGGTCATCACGGCCCACATAAAGATATTAAAAAGGACTGGCGCCATAGAGCACCCCTGGCGAAGACCATTGCCAATGCTGAACGGGTCTGATAATATGTTGTTGAACTGCACCGATGCTGACATGGGGTCGTGGAACGACCGGATGATGTTGATAAGCTTTTCTGGTACTCCCGCACGGCCGAGGACCTGCCACAGACACCCCCTGGGCACTGAATCATAGGCCTTCTTCAGGTCGATAAACACACAAAATCCCTTGGCCTGGTGTTCGATTGACTTTTCCATGAGCTGTCGGACGGTGAAGACCATGTCAGAGCAGCCACGCCCTCGCCGGAACCCGCAATGGGACTCGGGGAGAAATTCCTCTGCGAATACCTGAAGCCTTCTCTGAAGGACACTCGCCAAGACCTTGCCGACCACATCCAGCAACGCAATGCTTCGCCAATTGTCGCACTGCGACAAATCTCCCTTCTTTGGAATGGGGATGAGGGTAGCATCCGCCCACTCCCGCGGAACGCAGCCATCTCGCCACACATCTCCAAACAGCTCCATGAGCTTATTGTTGAGCTCCTCGCCACCGAACTTTAGCAACTCTGGCTGTATCCTCGATGAACCAACAGCGGTGCCATTGCGAAGTCGAGAAATGGCCTTGGAGATCTCATGCATGGTTGGTGGTTCCTCAAGGCTCGACACTACAGGTCGCTGCTCAACGCAAGCTATGATATCGGGGTTGTACGAGCTCTCTGGGTTCAGGACAGATGTGAAATGCCTCTGGAACCGCTTGCATTGATCCTCAGTCGACTGGCACAGGTTTCCATTCTCGTCCTTAATGGCGGAAGTCTTGCACGGAGTTAATCACTCACATGCAGCGTGGATAGCCTGAACGCGTTTCCAGACGACTGCCCCGTTGAAGCGCGCCTCTGTCGCCTCCTGTGCCTTATTCAAAATCCAAGCCTCTTTGGCATTTACAACGGCTGCGCGCGCCTGCGATCGAGCAGCCCCGAAGCTGGCCCAATACGTGTCGCCCCTCTGCTGACCGTGGGCAAGCCACTCCGCGTAGCACTCATTGCGGGCGCGCAGAAGGGGCTGTATGGTTGCAGAGTTGTCATCATACCAGTATTGCGCACATGGGTCCACTTCTCCCCAACGCTACCATCGCTGCTCCAGCAATCTCGCAATCCAGCAGATAAAGCGGCGCGATACTTGTCCGCGGTGGTCACGCAGCGCGGGGGGGGGGGGGGGGGACGTCCCACATCGTTGACGTCTTGTAACGTGGATGTGCAGGAATCCGATTGACCATGCTCGGCCACCGCCTTACTCCGCAGCTTGCCGACATTAAATCGGCGCCCCCGACTCGCTCCACGTCGGGCAACCCCCACCGGGCGATGCGGGACTCGTGACTCAAAGACTATACAAAGCAGCTGATGGTCACTGCCACAGTCAGCACCGCGAACAACGCGCACGTCCCTGCAAAATCGCCGATGATCCTGACGCATCAAGATATAGTCGATGCAGTGCCACTGCAGAGAGCCGGGGTGCTGCCACGTCCGCTTGAAGATATCCCGCTTGGGGAACCAGGTGTTGCATATTCACAAATTATTTATTGCTGCAAACGACAGTAGCTCATCTCCAGAGGAATTCAACTGTCCAAAACCATGCAAGCCGCGCACACCACTCCAGTCATCGTCAGCTGTTCCTGAACCCACACGGGCGTTGAAGTCGCCAAGCAGAATACAGCAGTCCCTGTCAGGAACGCCAGCTATTACCTCCTGCAACTGTTCGTAAAACTGATTTTTTGCTGGCACGCGGAGCTGCATAAGTCGGAGCATACGCACTCACTACCGTCACCCATGCGACTTCTCCCCCACGCAGGGCGAATTTGAGACGTGCAGTGACAAGACGAGGGCCCACAGCCCGCCAGACCGAACCACCATTCTTCCACGCGTCGGTTGCAAATTTATTGAGTGCCAGGGCGACTCCTTCTCCTCGTCTGTTGCTCGGAGCTCCATCGCCAGGCACTAGGGGCGACCCGAACACAAGATAGTGAAACCGTCAACGACATAAATGTCAGCGCCGAACCAGTGTGTCTCCTGCAATCCAGTCGCCGCCACGTTCAACCTGCGCAGCTCGGCAGCATGCAACACGACGACATTTCTTTCTTCTGCTACGCGGCCAGAAACGCTCGCCGTAGCTACGCCGCCACTCCTTTCCACAAGGGAGCGAACATTCCACGACCCAAACGTCAAGCAGCGCCGTCCCTCTCTCCCACTCTTCTCCCTCTCCTTGACGTACTTCATAGCTTTTCGGAGCTGGATGGAGATATTCCACTCGGGGGCTCGTCACACCACCGCGAGTGGCGACTTCGGGCGCAGCAAGAGGTGGCGGTATAAAAAAAACTCGCCTCGTCCTCCTGCTACGTGGCTCCCGTCGTCGGCAGCTCACTCTCTACATGGTCTACGTTACTGGCCCTGGAGGCAACCCTCAAGGGGTCGCTCCATGATCATGATGATCCAGGCCTCTCTTTCGCCCAAAAGTACATGTACTCGAAAAACAAGAAAAAGTCAGGAGCAGAAAAATTCCAAACTGCCTCCTTGGCAACTTGGTAGGCCTGTCCGAAAAATGTTCTGAATTTATTTTGCATTTTGGGGTACATTTTGCATTTTTTCTGAATTTTGCCCATTTTCGGTCGAATTCCAAGGTTTCAGCCAAGGTTTCAGCTCGACCAAGTCAAGTAACACGTCTTTAGTTCGGCTTGCTATTTCGGTGTCTTCTGTCCCTCTTGGCTGAGACACTACTTGTCACTAGACTTAACAGTTGCACTGGCCTCCTTAAAGGGGAAGTTAGGGCAAAGACTTGCCCACTCACCCCCACCGTTAGGCGCTGCATCTGCCGCTAGGGTTTATCGGGTGTTAGCGGCCGTCGTGAGTTCCCTTCGGGAACGGATACGATAATTTACTTTTTTTTTTACTTTTAAGGCAAAAATTAAAATTTCACCAGTTGTAGTCTTCGGGGTGCTGAGTCGAATGGTCGTGGTCCGAGGAAGCTGAGACGCTCCCTTCCTACTTGAATCCTAATCGAACTCGCGCACTTCCACCGAAACTGGGTGACTGCGCCCTACTAGATGGGGATTTGTATGCAAAATGTCACTAAAAGCGCCATTTCGTTCTTATAAAAGCACGGATGACCGCGATTGGCCCATATGTTGTAGCCTTCGGGACGCTGAGTCGACTGGTTTTGGTCCGAAAAGGCTGCGGTGCAGCGTTCCTTCTTTGTTCCCAATCGAACATGGTTGAAGAAGCGGTCACGTGGTCCTGGGTGCCCAAATCACCTGGTCACCACGCCAGCAGGTGACAACTTTCACACCAAGGTTCAACTCGGGTTCAACTCGAGTGACAGGACTGCACCCAAAAAAGGTCAAACAGGCTAGTAAGTTGTACCCTGCAGGCACGGTGACCAGGTGACTGGTGTACGCAGGAGCACGTGACCGCTTCTTCAACCATGTTCGATTGGGAATAAAGGAGGAACGCCGCATCGCAGCCTTTTCGGACCAAAACCAGTCGACTCAGCGTCCAAAAGACTACAACACATGGGCCAATCGCGGTCATCCGTGCTTTTATAAGAACGAAATGGCGCTTTTAGTGACATTTAGCATACAAATCCCCATCTAGTAGGGCGCAGTCACCCAGTTTCGGTGGAAGTGCGCGAGTTCGATTGGGATTCAAGTAGGAAGGGAGCGTCTCAGCTTCCTCGGACCACGACCATTCGACTCAGCACCCCGAAGACTACAACTGGTGAAATTTTAATTTTTGCCTTAACTTCCCCTTTAATCACACACATGGGAACACGTGGGTGTCAGTTTAGTTCTACGTACGTGTCATGCAGGTGTGATGATGTAAAACTACAAAGATGTGTAGTAGTAGTACATGTGTAGTATGTAGTATGCAATCCAGCAAGCATAAGGCAACACGAGTGACTTGCAATGGTGAGAAAATGATTAGCTTTGCAGGCTTGTCAGGCAATGTCAGCAAAAGGGGTGACAAGATTATGATCATGCAGTGCGTGTACACGTGACATGATTAGAGGTACATGTTCTAGTACTAGCAAGGCAGGGATACTACATGACTTTGTATACATGTGACATGGAATTTTTGTGATCACCATGGCATGGCGGCCATTTTAGATTCTGGTTGCCATGGCAACGGATGCATTTTCTCTGCGTTTTGGTTGTTTGGCTTTGATTTTTTAATTTTTTTTTACATTCCCCTTTGATTTCTTGTTTGAATGTTGGCTGGAAAACCGTGCATTAGACAGGTTAATCGGATAAGTCAACCACCTGTCCCAGAAGACCATTGCAACCAGGACCAAGGGATGCTATTTTCAGTCGAACGTCCCTGGATAAGGAGACTACCTGGTA